TTATGAGGTGGGGAGGGGGGACTATGAGCTGACTGTATAGATGACAAAGGTCTCTCTCTCTCTCACACACACACACACACCGTGGGCTGGATGGTAAAGGGCACTTTTATCCATACCACAGACTCTGTCTTAAGGACAAAGGAATAACCAGGATGACTTGCCATGTCCCTGAATTTAGGGGATCAAACCTCAAATGTCTTCTCATCTCCCTCTCTGCAGTTCACAATTCGAGGACAAGTATTGCTACAACTGACCCATCGAAGCCAAGCCCTGAGTCCACATCCTCTAACTCCTTACATACCTTGAGCCGCAAACAGTGGCGGAACCGGCAGAAGAACAAGCGGAGACACAAGAACAAATTTCGGCCACTTCAGACACCAGAGCAGGTTCCTTCCAAAGCTTCCACAGAGGAGACTGAGACGCTTCCTGCACCAGCATCAGACGATCTGCAGGCTCGCGCTGGAGCCCTGCGAGCACGCATGACACAACGGCTGGATGGGGCGCGATTTCGATACCTTAACGAACAGTTGTACTCGGGGCCCAGCAGTGCTGCCCAGCACCTCTTCCAGGAAGACCCTGAGGCTTTTCTGCTCTATCACCGTGGCTTTCAGAAACAAGTGAAGAAGTGGCCACTGCACCCAGTGGATCGTATTGCCAAAGATCTCCGCCAGAAGTAATGGGAGGAGGGGAAGGGCTGTGCACTGAGTGAGGGTAAAGTGGGTGATGGAGGACTTAGACCAGACCAGCATGTGACCCTCTCTTCCACTCCCAGGCCTGCATCCTTGGTGGTAGCTGACTTTGGCTGTGGAGATTGCCGCCTAGCTTCAAGTGTTCGGAACCCTGTACACTGTTTTGACTTGGCCTCTCTGGACCCCAGGGTCACTGTATGTGACATGGCCCAGGTAAGCACCTCTATGTATCTGGCCTGTGCTTTTTCTGACCCTTCCTCCTGGTCTTCCCATCCTATTATCCACTTCAGGCACTGGTGTTGAGTTTCTCCTTACAGTACTGTGTGCTCCTTCTAACGTTTGTCTTCATCAGGTGCCTCTGGAGGATGAATCTGTGGATGTGGCTGTGTTTTGCCTTTCACTAATGGGAACTAACATCAGGGACTTCCTTGAGGAGGCAAATCGAGTGCTGAAACCAGGGTGAGTCCCTAGGACACAGATGAATTTTTGTGTGCATACATGTGTCTACACATTCACACGACTTCCTCCTTTTCCCAGGGGTCTGCTCAAAGTAGCTGAAGTCAGCAGCCGCTTTGAGGATATTCGGACATTTTTGGGGGCTGTGACCAAACTTGGCTTTAAGGTCATATACAAGGTAAGGGTCCCCAAGAGGTCTGCCCCTGTTTTTGTCCTTTCCTGGATAATGGTGTTCAAGAAGGAGACTGTAACCACAGAAGCAGACATTTTGCTCTTTCAAGACAAAAGTCCAGGAGGATCTGTGAAAAGTTCTCTAAGCTGGAGAAACACATGGAGAGGTATGGTTGAGGTGAGGATTTTGTAGCTTATTGGTGTTTTCTGCTCCTAGGACCTGACCAACAGCCACTTCTTCTTGTTTGACTTTGAAAAGACTGGGCCTCCTCGAGTCGGACCCAAAGCCCAACTCTCAGGCCTGAAACTTCAGCCCTGTCTCTACAAGCGCAGGTGATCAGTGTATACCTGTTAAAAGGGGAGGGCTCAGACTCCAAACTCAGAACTCTGAAGACTGGACCTACCTACGCTGTGAGCCAGGACCTGGTGCCACCCTCCTTCTGTACCAAGAATACTGCTCAGCTCTACTCTGCTGGAGCCTTCTTGGCTACAAAAAGCATGTAGTTACCTGAGCAGGCTCAAGAATGAGGAGTTTATTGTCAAGGGTTTGGTGTATCTGGGAACTGTGAGTTCCTTCAGATATCATGTAAACTAGTTGGCTTGGAATTGATGGATCTCTGGGTTTGGTTTCTCTTCATTTTTCAGAAGGCTCGTGGGCACTCCACTGTGCCATCTTCTGTGTTGTCTAGTCTCTGCTCATCCATAGTTTCTGCTCCTTCAACTACAAGGCTACAGACACACAGCTTTTGTCTCATGGCAGGTCCCAGTGCTAGTTTGCCAGTTGGGGCTGGGGGTTATTTAATTTCATTCTTGGAGCTGAGAATCATTTAATTTCTTTTTTCTTTCCTTCCTGTTGTTGTTTTGAGACAGCATCTCACACTAGTCCAGGCTAACCTCAAATGGCAGTTCTCCTGCCTCAGCCTCATAATTATTGGGATTACAGGCGAGGGCTGCTATACCCAGCTTAATCACTTAATTTCTGACTATTCCATTTCTCATTTGAAAAATGTAGAAGTTTTGTGTTCCAGCATGTTAACTGAGTTAACTGGTAGTTATCTGCAAGGTTCATTCTGATGCATTCCCAGCACTCTCCTGTCGTTTCTGGTTCTGTAGATCTGCGTAGGGTCCTAGAAATTCTTTCCTAGTGGCTTTGGGTTTTCTCCTTGAAGGAGGAAGCAAAATTTATTCATTAAAAGTAAACGTGGCAAGAGAACTGGGATTTCGAGAAGATGAAGACCATTTCGAGGAGAATAGGTAAGAATGAGTAATGATTGGGTGTGGTGGCACATGCCTTTAATTCCAGCACTTGGGAGGCAGAAGCAGGCTCCAGGGGATACACAGTGAGACCCTGAGCTAAGGAAGCATAGAAGTATTGCTAGTGTTAATAACACACTAAGTTCAGTCATGAGAGGATGGGAACATGGTACACGGTTGTGTCAGGAGCTTGTTACTTGCCCTTACTACTGGTCTATCAGAACCCAGCACCCAGATGGAGGAAAGGGGAAAGGGTCAGGGTTTGCCCACTGCCCACAATTCCAGCTAAGGTGTACTGGGACAATTAGGGAAGCATGAGGTATTTATTACTACTGCTGAGGATTTGATGAGCCTAGAATTACTCCTGCCCTGAAAAATAAAGGCAAGGAAAAGCTCAGAGGCTGGATGGTGTGGCAGTGGGTGCTGCTGCTTTGGCACTGGCTTGCATACGCAGAAGGTGCCCTGACGATTTCCTTATGCTCCTGACATCTTGTGCTAAGTGTAAGGTGAGCTTGGGTCCAGTCCCATGGTACCATTTTGAAGAGATAAAGAGACTTCACAACAAGCAGCAAGGAGTCAGCCATTTGGGCTGATGGAATGGTTTCAGGAGGCCACCCGAAATAGTGTAGTATCTATCGGGCAGTAACAGGGATTTTCCCCTTTGAATGTCCACCAGACCTGTCATTCAAACCACCAAGTCAAGCCAGACTTGCATTTCCTTGACTCTCCTACTCAGTAATTGTGCTTGGAATTATTAGCAAGGAGATGGGGAAAAGTTATGGAGATCAGGGAGCTCTCCTCCATTTTCCAATGCAGCCTCTCTGACTTAGGTGAGGCAAAGCTGGAAGGGAGATTTAAAGCCACCACAGTGGCCAGTTACTTATTGTTACACAGAATTATACATGCTGATTTAAATTATTTATTCCTTGAGCTGATCACGTTAACTAAGAATATCACAGTGTGTGTGTGGGGGGGGGGTCAGATGTTTCTGTGGTTGAGAATACTGGCTGCTCTTGGGGAAAAAAATGCAGGTTCCATTCCCAGTACCCACAAAGTAGCTTGTAACCTTTATCAGACTCCAATGCCCATTTTGGCTTCTGGGCACACCAGGCTCGCATGTGGTTCACAGACATACATGCAGGCAAAACACTCATAAAACAAAGTAAAATAAATAATTAATGAATAAACAAGATTATAGGCTTGCTACAGCCTCAAGCAAAGCTAAGTAAACAAACAAACAAATAGAACAAGAAGATTATAGGCTTGCTTCAGCGTTTCTCCACGGCAGACAGTTTACTCCTTTAGGATTGTAGGAGCCAAGAGTAAAGCTGGATATGGATATCGATCTAGACCTGGGTCATGTTCAGTATCCCTTTCAGAGCTCTCCAAGCAGAGTGTTCTGCAATTATTCGTGTGCTCCTGATTTTGTTCCCGTAAAATAGTCCTTAGAGAGAACATAGTTCCAAAAGAAACAGTGTGATCTTGGCAGAGACAGCTCAGCTCCAAGTACTCAGCAGTTACGTAACCACACAAAGCCCTCTGGTGCTCACAGAGACTAGTAATGTGAGCCTCTCAGGTCCAGGTCATCCTCCCTCCCAGGTGAGTTCTCTAACTAGCCACCTGGTTGTCGGACTTTTGGCTACTGCAGTGATTGCTATGGGGATTTAATTACCTCTGCTTCCCAAAGCAATTCATTTTCCATACTGTCAAGTGATCTTTGTGAAAATGTAAGTCAGATTATGTCACCTCTGTAAAATCTTTCAATGGATTCTCTTTGCTTGAGAACAAAAGACAGACTGCTTCCCGGGTCCTGTGTGATCCTACCCAGGCTTTGTTCTGCCACTCAGCTGCATCTTAACTCCTCAGTTCTCCAGCAGGAGCTTGCTAGTCGCTCCTCCTGCACTCCGTGCCCTCTCTACTTCTATACATGACCCCTCCATCTTCCTAAAATACTCCTTCTGTCAACTAATTTATTTTCATTTTCTGGATCTCCTTACCAGTGACATCACTTTCCCCCGGAGCCCTTCTGGACATACAATTAAACTATATTTTCCAGCACTGTACATTAGGCTATGGATAGTAGGAGTGATTTTTTTTTTTTCCGAGACAAGGATTCTCTGTGGCTTTGGAGCCTGTCCTGGTACTAGCTCTTGTAGACCAGGCTGGCCTGGAACTCACAGAGATCCGCCTGCCTCCACTGCCCAGCTTGTTTTCATACCAGACTGAGAGGCAGTTGAGCTGCTTCTGTTTTCTTCCATTCCCTGCCCTACTTAGGAAGGACAGGTTTTGAAGGTGATGCAGTCATAGTATACAAGAAGTTTGGAGCCAGGCGGTGGTGGTGCAAGCCTTTAATCCCAGTACTTGGAAGGCAGGCGGATCTCCATGTGTTCGAGACCGGCCTGGTCTACAAGAGCTAGTTCCAGGACAGGCTCCAAAGCCACAGAGAAACCCTGTCTCGAAAAACCAAATAATAATAATAAAATAAAAGCCAAAAGAGAAGAAAAAAAACACAAGCAGTTTAATTTTTAGGCCAGGCAGTGGTGGCACATGCCTTTAATCCCAGCACTTGGGAGGCAGAGGCAGTGAATCCCTGTGAGTTCGAGGCCAGCCTGGTCTACAAGAGCTAGTTTCAGGACAGCTAAGGACTGTTACTCAGGGAAACCCTGTCTCGAAAAAAAAAAAAAAGTTTGACTATTTTAGGAGAAAATTGGACCCTGAAACAGATCTAAACCCCAAACCCATTAAGCTAATGAGTGTGAGCATGTCACACAGTTGTCATGTGTCTGGATATGCCTTCTGTTTGCCTCCCTATAAACCCTGCTTCCTGTAGGTACTTCAACGTGCCAGTCTACTCTCTAATTGTCCTACTTTAAAGATTTTAATTATTTTTAATTACATATATGGGGTGTGTATATATATGTGTGTGTGTATGTGTGTGAGTGAGTGCAGTGGCAGAGGCCAGAGATATGAAATTTCTTGGAGCTGGAGTTAAAGAGCTGTGTGCTGCCTGATGAGGGTGTGAAAAATTGAACTTGGGTCCTCTGCAAGAGAAGTACTCACTGTTAACTCCTGAACTAGCTTTCCAACCCCCTTCTCCTCCTCTTCAATGAAGAAAAAGAATGCTCACATCAGAAAACAGAAATACTTTATTAATTATTTATGACTAGAAAAATTCCCAGTAAATGTCTTAAACGTTTAAAAGAATTCCTACTATAACAGGGAATCTGACTTACTTCATTACTCATCAACTAATGATGAGTTTGTGACTTACTTCATTAGTTGATGACTTGGCTTTAGTTCAGGAGCTCAAAGGTGTTAGGAGTTGGGGTTTGTGCTTTTGGTGTTCTGATTCTTGTCAAAGATACATTAACTGGCTAGAGACACTGTACCTACTGGACTACTTGGAAATCTCTCAGATTGCCACAGCACTCCCCCCACACCTTTTGGCTTCACTTCAAAGAGCTGTTCAATTGTTAGTACTCTGGTGTAAATACGTTATATTCTCCATGATGACAGGCTGCAGTGTAAAAACAAAAACCCTTAAATACATTTTCCATCTCCGCCACTCCCACATCTCACATAGTAGCTCCTAGGGCTCAAACTCTTCTCTTCAGTTCAGTATATTAGAGGCATATGACCTCTTACTCATTTTTATATGCACTGGTGTTTTAACATGGGTGTCAAGTCCCCAGGAACTGGAGTCACAGACAGCTGTGAGCTGCCATGTCGGTGCTAGGAATTGAGCCCAGGTTTCCTGGAAGAGCAGTCAGTGCTCTTAACCACTGAGTCATCTCCCCAGTCTCTTTTTACTCATTCTTTGCTTTTTCTGTTTGGGGATTGGAAGATTAAATGTACTCAATTCGTACATGATTGGTATGTTTTACCAAGATAAACCCTTAACTGTTAACTCTTGTGTGTGATGCTGAAGTACCCAGAGCTCTCCACAGGGACATTTGCATTGACTGATTTTGGTTGCTTCCTTATGATATATAACCCAATTGCCCCTCAAGTCCATAGCTTAAGCCCTGGCAGTGTGTGCTGATTAGTTTTTGTCAAATAGACCCAAACTAGAGTCATTTAGGAGGAGAATATCTCAGCTGAGAAGATGCCACCATCAGATCGACCTGTATGCGTGTTTGTGGGGCATTTCCTTATTGATTGTGTGCAGGGTCCAGCCCTCTCTGGGCATTGCCACCCCTGGGCTTTGTAAGAAAAGTCACTGAATAAACCAGGGGAAGCAAACTAGTTAAGCTGCTTCAGTTCCTGCCTCAAGCTCCTGCCCTGGCTCCCTTGATGATAGATTCCAACCTGTAGGATGGAATAGACCTTCCTCTCCAAGTTGCTTTTGTGTTTTACCACAGCTACAGGCAGCAAACTAGGACACAGTGTATCCACTGCCACCTAGTGCCAAAAAGCCTCACCTAATGCTAAGGTTTCCCAGAGAAGGTCCCCACATGCCTCAAGACCCTTCAAGGAGCCCAGAGGAATCCCATGCACATTTATCCTGCCTAACAGTAGAATGCAGGCCAGGCAACAGGTGACAGTTCTTTCCTTGTGCCAATGAGAAGTACCAGTCACTGTGTCCATATGGCTCCAAAATATTTCCTCCTGTTTCCCTCCTATGTCCCTAGACACATATAAATAAATGTCTTTGACACAATATACGGTGGCTTAAGTATGTGTTATAGTGGAGAATTCGAATGCTCTTCAGAATACATGGTGGCTTAGATAATGTGTGTTATAGCAGAGAATGCCAGTGCTCTTCCCAATACACAGTGGCTTCGGTATGTATGCTATAGCGGAGAATACCAATGTTCTTCACAATACACAGTAGCTTAGATATGTGTGTTATAGCGGAAAATGCCAGTGCTCTTCAAACTCACTTTCCTCCTGGGAAGTCAACTCTACTACATTCTTCGTCTTCCCATAGAGTTGTGTGTCAGAAGGTGATGGAGTCAAGACAGTTGGTTACTAATGAAACCACTGCTTTCATACTTGAATCTTTTCCTTTTCCCACTTTGGTTTTTTGAGACAGGGTTTTTCTGTGTCGCTTTGGAGACTGTCCTAGAACTCGCTCTGTAGACCAGGCTGGCCTTGACCTCACAGAGATTTACCTGCCTCTTCCTCAAAGAGCTGGGACTAAAGGTATGTTCTACCACTACCTGGAAGACTTGGATCTTTTAATAAAAGATCCCCATGTCATTTCCATATTTTCCAACTTGATGCGGTGGAGCAGAGCTTCCTAAATCCCTGAGTATCACCAAAACTAGAGGCTCCCATGAATAGGATCTCCTGGTTTAGGCTTCACTTCAGTGAGAAATATATTGCAATTTTTTCGGAGGCACTAGTAATCTCTTAAGAGCTCTTCTAATTGAAGGGGACAAAGCACCTATAAAGAAAACTAACAAAACAATATTTAACTCTAATTTATCACAAAGACACTGAAAATCACCCAGGTTATGCAGCAGAAGGCTGTTATCACCTAAAGCCACTTCCCAAACACAAGCAACTATGTTGTGGTTAGCGTGTTGTTTTTTAAACCTTTATTCTCTTATACATTATATCCTGACCACAGTTTCTCCTCCCTCCACTCCTCCCAGTCCATCCCCTCCTGTTTCCCACCCCACCCCCCAAAAAAAGAAGCAGCAGAAGCAGACTTCCCAGGGATATCCACCAAACATGACCTAACAAGATACAGGACTAACAAGCTTAGGCACAAACCTTCAAGGCTGGACAAGGCAACTCAGTAGGATGAAAAAGGTCTCAAGTGCAGGCAAAGGAGTTAGTGACAGCCCTACACACACTCCTGTTGTTGGAAGTCGCACAAAAAAACACACCAAGCTACACAACAATAACATATTTACAGAGGACCTAGCTCAGACACTTACAGGGTCCCTGTTTATTGCTTCAGTCTCTGTGAGCCACTATGAGCCCTGCTTAGTTGATTCTGTGGCCCATGGTCTCTTGTCTTTGAATCCTCTGGCTTCTGCAATCCTTCCACCTTCTCTCTTTCAGGGTTCCCCTGGATCTGCCTAGTGTTTGGCCAGTTCTGTGCCACCATTGCCCCAGCATGTCTTATAGATTGTAGGTTGAAGGTTTTGTAGCTAGGTTGGTGTCTCTGTCTTAATGCTGGGAGCCTTGCCTGGTTAGAGAAGATGGCCAGTTTGGACTCGTGTCCCCCATTACTAGGAGATTTCACTTGGGTCCCTTGGTATTATTTTGAGAACTGGTAGGCACTTTAGATTTTAGGGCATAACTGAAGGAAGCAGGTCACTGGTGGTACAGCCTTGAAAACCCTATCTTGTCTCCAGCTCTTTCCTCTGTCCTGCTTCCTGCCCATCATGGGGTGAGCAACTTCTACTGCAGTTCATGCTCATCGCCCCGGTCACCAGAGGTGCACAGCAATGAATCATCAACTGTGAATTGAGATCCCTGCAACCATGAGCCAACAGCACCTTCCTAAGTTGTTTCTTTCAGGTGTTGGTCACGTTGACAGAAAGTCTAACCATAAATCTATCTTGGAGAAGAAAACTTGTTAGTGTGATTAAACCTTTGTGGTTTGGGAGAATTTGGAAAAGTTCAGAGTGACAAACTAGGAGGACCCAGAATGTTGTTAGAAATGCTTAACGGGCCATTCTGGTGAGACCTCAGAAGGCTAGAATGCTGCTAGTAAAGGTGAGAATAAGGTCTCTCTCGGGGAATTGGATTACACATCATTCATTCTAATCCCAGCAAAGAACTTATTTATATTTTAGTAGTATCCTGAGTCTTTGTATGAGGCTGAATTTAAAGATTCATACTAGTTATACAGCAGAGGACATTTCAAGCCAGCCTGAATTAAAATGGTATGGTTATTACTAGCTTCTTTTAGTCAAATCTATAGCAAGAATTGTTACCAAAAGCAAAGTGTTAAAATTTGAAAATCTTTCACTTTGAGCAGAAACAAAACTAAAGTTGAAGCCAAGAGGAATGTGGCTGTTAAGAGATTAGGGCCATTAAAAATAAACTAAGTGAGCCGGGCAGTGGTGGGTGGATCTCTGTGAGTTCAAGGCCAGCCTGGTCTACAAAAGTGAGTCCCAGGACTGCCAGGACTACATAGAGAACCCAGGTCATGAAAAACAAACAAAAGAAAAAGCAGCTTAAGTAGACTATATGTTGTTGTGCATGTCTAGCAATGCCAGCCAGCACTTGGTAGATACGAGGCAGGAGGATCAAGAATTTACGGCCAACCTCAGCTGCATAGCAAGTTGAAGTTCAGACTGACTATATGAAACCCTGTCTCAAAAGATAAAGAAGTTGAAGCAGCAACTCAGTGTAAGAGCACTTGTTGCTATTGCAAATGGCCTGGATTTCATTCCCAGAATCTACCTGGTAGCTCATGACTTTCCTTAACACTAGTTCGAGAGACTCCAACACCTTCTCTGATCTTCACAGGACTAGGCATGCACATAGTGCATATATACATACATGCAAACAAAACACTTATGCACATAAACCCGTAAACAAAACAGCCAAATATTTGGCATTAGTACAACAGAAAAGTACCTGAGGGTTTCTCAGGAATTGGCTAGCTGCCACCCATGGTAGGCACATGGGTATAAAGGTTTCAATTCATTCAAAAATTTTGCTTTGAGAGCCGTTCAGTTAGGACCACCTAGGAAAGTGTTAGCTCACGTTCATCCATTCATGTATTTGGAGGCCATTGAAGAGGATTAGCTACTGCTTGAACTACCAGCAGACCTTGACATTGCCCATGTGGTACTGGAGTTCCAAGCATGTAAAGTGTAACAGTTGTGGGATTACAGGCTCTCCCTCTATTTCAGAGGAAAGTCTAAAAGAAGGCCAGTGTATGGATGGCAGGGTCAGAAGCCCCACGGGAAATCTCTGACAGTGTATGAAGTTGCAAGAGTGTGTGGAATTGCAGTGGAGACTCTAGAAAGTAAAAGAGGCCACGGACATAGAGCATCTGCCATGGAAAGCCTTGGGGGGTTGTGCAAGGTCTAGAGAAAGCCACGTGGGCTGCAAATGGCCCGTGCCTTTGGAGCTCGCATGGCATCACCATGCACCGGAGTACTTTGGGAACGAGCTGCAGGACTACATGTCCTGCTGCCTTACTCTTACTCTGCTCCAGGCTTTCTTTGTCCATCTATTCCACCCTCTTGGAAATGTTTACTTGTGTCACATATTAGAATATTTCTTGAGTTTTATGGGGGTTTACAGTTAAGAGTTTAGATCTGAGGAAATGGAATGTAAACTTTTGAGAAATGCATTTGAGCTGGATATGGTGGTTTGGGCCTCTAATTTCAGCATTTGGGGAGCTGAGTCAGGTGCATCACAATTTTGAGGCCAGGAAAAAAAAAATTTAGCTGGGCAGTGGTGGCGCACAGGACCAGTGGTGGTCCCAGTTGCTCAGGAGGCAGAGGCTGCTGGGTCTGCGGTGCAAGTTCCAGCACAGTCAGGCTACAGAGAAACACTGTCTTGAAACAAAAAAGAAAATGTTTGAGGTCAGGCTGGAACATAGCAAGACCCTGTCTCAAACAGAGAGGGTGTTAGGGGGAACGTGTGCTTTGCATTATAAGAAAAACAATACCCTTTGAGGTCCCATTGTGTGGATATGATGTATCCGGCAAATGGGTGTGTGCACAGAAGGCTTGTTCCCTTCATGGTGGCACTATCAGAGGCTGACTGGATAATCAAGGTCCTAATTTCAACAATGACTGAATGGACCATTAAAGGATATGGCCTAGAAGGAGGCCCTTTTGAAGGGTATAACACATTCCTGGAACTTCCATGGAAATAGATTTCCAAGGAAAACAGGAAATTTGTGCTGAACAGCCTCATCAGTGTCTGAAAGAACACTTCATATGGAGAAGTGCTTGCTCAGCTGGTTATTGTTGAATGAGTGAGGGGTCGTGAGTCTCATTTGGCCTTTGTTTTGGGAATATGACTCATTCAGAGAATGTTGTAGGGCACAAGCAGGGCCTTCCAATAATGCTGCTAAATGCTTTAAGCAACTTTCAAATAATGTTCTCCATTCAAAACCATCCACTGGATATTTAATGCAAGTGCTGAGACCACAGTAGAAAGCTAAGCAGAGTCAGAATTCTGAGTTAGCCATTGCTAGGGTATTCTTTGTGAACATAACTAACAGCAGATGCCTGTGCCCAAAGAGTACCCAGATTTTGCCCCACTTCTTCCTCTATCAATAGCATCCTTTTCCCCCTGTGTGCCACATTTTGTATTCTGCATACTCCAATCTTCTTCCAAGTCCTAGACATCATTCTTGACACCACTACAGCTTTATTTTGGTCGGGGCTCAGGTTAAGGTTGGGCTGCACACATGGACTCTCCGTTGGATACAGGTGTCAAGGCTGAGCTTCGTGGGTAGTGGCAGGTGCATGAGGATGTTCTTACTGTGAAGCTTAGTGGTGCCAAGGGGCCCGGTCATGTATATGGGACAGGAGTACACGCCCAGGCCAGCTGAGACTGGTGTGTTACTGGCACCCCGGGCTTGTGTGCTGACGCTGACAGGAGGCAAAAGGCTGGGTTGGCTGGAAAAGCTGTCCTGCAAGGCCCCATCCATCTGGTCCCACTCCGCATGATGAAGCTGTAACCCGATCAGCAACAATCCCATCTCAGGAACCTTGGGATTTGGGCCATTCTCCACCTGGGGGTGCCAGAAAACAGGCAAAGCTATGAAGATGAGATGAGGGTCAGATCAGGGTCAAGGTCAACAGGATGGGGTGTAATCACATACTTTGAGGTGGAATGGGGAGCAGAAAGGATGATGCCAAGATACCCGGATATGCAGAGGGTGGTTGTTCAGCTCCTGACGTTTAGGTGGGAGACTGCTGGAGCCAGAGCCTTGGATACCAGGAAGATTGGGGCTTGGCACCCTGGACTTCAAGACCGCCTCCCAACGCAGTGCCAGGAACAGACGACGAGGGTGGCGAAAAGCTGACAGGTGAAATATGCGCTCTGGTTCATTGGCATTTTCGCTCGTGCCACTGTCCAGGTAGCGAATCAATAGGTGCCCACGGCGGGACAGTTGTCGCAGCCATTGCCAGGGTAGCTGTGGCCCAGCAGGCGCATGAGATCTCCAAGGCCGAGGTAGGCGTCCTGCCCAAAGAGCATGGGCCACTGCAGCACAGCGACTGGAGGTACATGGGGTCTCACCCTTCAGCTGCTGCAGTAAACAGTCAAGGTCACGCTGCAGTATGCTCACCAGCTGCTTCAGTTCCAGCACCTCTGTCTCTAAGAAGCCCTCCAGAGGCCTGTGAGCATTGGGCCCCAGCACCGCCCACGGGGTGATACACTGGCCTGAGTGATTACGGTTGGATAGCAAAGCCTGAAGGGCCACCAGCCTCTTCTTGGCTTGCACCAGGCGTTGCCGAAGTCGCCTTTCTTTACGCTGGTTGATTCCTCCACAAGCTGAAGGAACCCATATGGGTGAACACTGCTGTAGCACGCTCAGGAGAGCACGACTCTGGCGTCTCAATAGCCAGGACTTAGGCCCTTCATTCAGTCCGCAGACACGAGGTTCAGCTGGTATGGGCAGTAGGTGCATCCGGGCCTTGCACTCTGTCCTGGCATCTAGTTCCCCTAGCTCTTAGGATTAGAGGTAAGGAACAAATAGTTTCTCCCCACCAGACCCAATGAGGCAGGCCTTCCTCTGACCCCATAACTACCAACACTGCCCTCTCATACCTTCATTGGTACAGATGTTATTTGCACCCCTGTGGAGACTCAGGGCAATGCACTATTCCCCACCCCAGGGTGGATATTTGCCAGAAGCTTACCTGGACTAGGCATCAGAGTGGCCAGCAGATACTGAGGTGTGTGTGGCTGGACCCCGCTCATGCTTTTGGGATCCAGGCAGGTTCGTGTCAGGCTAATCAGGGCCTCTCTGTCTCCTGGGTCCCTCAGAGAACCTCCATAGAAAACTGAGGCTGCAGACAAAGTCAGAATTTCAGTCATTCCAGTTTCCACCAGTCCTCAAAGCAAAAGTATGCATTTATCCATCCCATGCATCCTGGCCTTCAGACTTCCATCCAGCCCACCCGTTTCCATGTCTTCTGGGGTCCGGACACCATATGGAGGCCAGGAGGAGAAGCTCACCAGCCAGCTCCAGCAAGGCAGCACCGGGGTTACTGAGACTGGCCCATAGATGCTCTTGGGTCTGAAGAATCTCGGTCAAGGTTACTTGACTCCTGGGTAGGATACAGAGAATACAGTGTTTATAAAAATATACTGAGGACTCTCACATCCTTCAGTGTGAATCGCTCTCCTGAGCTCTCACTTAGGAGGGCTCACAAGACATTACTACTTTGTACCCCAATACAACTTGCTTTCTACTGCAGTAATCATTTTCCCCTAGAAGTCTGTTCCACCTCTTAGTCTAGTAAGACGTGTCACCAGCCACCTGGTTGTCTAAGAGGAAGTCTAGGAGTCATCCTTATTCTTCACCATAGATTTATTCTGGACCCCACCTCTACCCTAGACCCTGCCGCCCATATCATGATCACTTTCTTAGAGCCCCCTGAGAAGCTGTTTTTTTTCTCCAGGCCCACCTCTGTCTGTTCTTCACATTCAGTCTGGGTGGTGCTTTCCACAGATAGGATCAAGGTTCCTGGCTTATTTAAAACCATATTTAAAAAGATATCAGAGACTTCCTGATATCTTCAGGATAACCCAAGGCCTTTTGCCATGGCCCTAAAGGCCCTTTGTGATGAGCTTCCCCTTTCTCTATTCCATCCCCAGCATGTGCACCTCAGCCACACTGAAGTCATTTCCTCTGCTTAGAAAAAGCCCTGTTTTTACCCAACTGGCTTCTGCTTTTAAGGCTTGGTTCAGAGTGAGATTGCAAACAAAGTCCGGGGAGAAAACCTCCTTGCCTTCACTCTTTGGAAGGTCCAAAGATGGGTTTTCTCATGCAAGTATAAGGAAGGTACTCATGTGTGCTGGGTGACTGACCAGGACTGGCGGCTCTCTCACCAGCGCCCCCTGTGTGCTTGCAGCTTTATCCCATAGAGCTGCCGGTGTAGTAGGAGACCGTGCAGGAGGAACAAAGGCAGTGTCCGACTGAAGGGTTGCATGCAGAGTCCTTGCTGCAAATCCACACTGTCGATCAAGATACGGTGTAGTTCTAAGGACTGGTCCCAGAAAACAGTCATGGAGTGCTGGATCAGCACCCCTGTGGAGGAAGCAGAGTGCTGAGTCAGCACAGTCCAGTCACTCTCCCTCCTGAGGACTTGAGAGCTCCCAAAGGGATGCTCCTTACCTGGCAAGGAAGCACTGGCTTCAGTAGATACAATCAGCCAAAGACGGAAATCTCTGTGGATAGTGGCCACACTCCTGTTTTTTGGTTCAGCTAACAGTTCCGAGTCTGAGACCACTAAGTTTAGATAAGGGGCTGAAATGAATCCTCAGGTAATTGGTAGATTGACCCACAAGTCCAAGGGCCATATTCAAGACTGGGACAACAGGAGTCAGACACAAGGCCAAAGGCATAGGCTTCACACTTGGAGATCAGCCGTGAAGCTCTAGGATTCAAGCTCAGGGTCAAGTGTAGGATAGGAGCCTCAAAGCCATCCCGAAGCAGGACACTTACCCTTGGCTCCATCCAGCAGTCCCAGCAAGGGCTGTAGCAGTTCTCTTGGCCAACGAGGCATCAAATGACAGTTATCCAGCACCAGCCAGTGCCCCTGGAGCATAGCCTGGCATAGAGTGTTGACTATAGTTGAGACAGGATCCCAATCTTCAGAGCCTAGTGCGATGACATGCAGATGCTTCTGTGTCTAGGGACCGTTAGAAAGGAGACAGAGTAACTCAAAGTGATCTTGAGGTGACTTGATAGACTCAGAGTTATGCCACAATAATCCTAAAGAATCTGTGTGATTATGTGATTTAAATAGACCCATAAGGATGATGGGCCAGAGTCCCACACTCTATCCCAGCCCATAGAAGCCCACTCACTCTGGGTCAAGAGACTAGATACAAACCTCATGGTTGGCAGCTAGTTTCCGGATGACAGTCACAGGATGCAAAGTGGCTATAGGGTGGCCAGATGGTGGCAGCAAGATCAGTATGGGCTGAGTAGCCTGACTGTGTTCAAATATCATGGTAGGGGCACCCAGGTCTTCATCTAGGGGCCGACCTAGTAGGCTGGTGGTGAGGTCTGCTAGGGCAGCTGCCAGGCAATCTGGTCGCAGTACACGCCACAGTATCAGCTTCTGGAAGAGGCTAAGTGGTTCAGAATTAGGACCAGGTGCAGGACCCAGCACGGTGGATGATAGTGACAGGTAATCCTGCCACACACTGGAGTGGCCTGCCAGGGATGCACGAAGCCCAGCAAATGGGGACAGCAGCTCCAGTGCTCCACATTCTTGCCAGGCTCTTAAGCCTAACCAGGCTGGCCTAGCCATACCAGGGCCCTGTGTGTTATGGCCTGTGCTGGGAGAGGCTGACAGGCCAGGCCACAGCGCCAACCTCTCTAGCTTTGGTGTCTTCTTTGTCACTTGCAGCAGGGCAATAGCACCCAGAGCACCCACCAAGGGTGCTTGGGTCAAACCGAGGGCAGCCACGGTGCTGCTCAGCAGCTGGCGGGTTAGGTGGATTTTCAGTTGCAGCAGATGGCTGGGCAAGTCCTCTCCGTGGTGACTATCATGTGGTTTCATGCTGTCTAGAGCCCTCCTGGTGACTGTTAACCAGTTTTCTAAATTCATACAGAAAAATGGAAGCAGTTTCTGTAGTGAGCTTAGGGCCTCTACCACAGCGATTCCATGAGAAGCTACCTGCCGGTAGGGTGCCCACAGTACCATCTCCTCCAGCTTCTGCTCTTCTATCTCCTCCATCTGGGCATTCAGCTGACATATCTTTGCCTGAGTCCTCACCATTTCTCTCAGAAACTTGGACGGTTTCTGACGCCTTTGGTACTGAAGTAGCAATATCGCCAGCAACCGTTCCTGCATGTGGTAATTTGTTGGATGGATCTGGACCTTTGTGATGGTCCCCAAACATCCTCTCCAGCTCTGTACTTGAACTTTCCCCATGTTTTTAGCCACCCCACAGACTGGGCCCCCAAGCACCTCAGCAGCCATCACAGCTTCATAGGTATCCACTGCTCTGATTTTGAGGTCCTGCCAGCGGGTCTCAAGCTCTGGACGCTCTCTACACAGGATTTCGTGCAGCATCTGTTCTTCTAGTATTTCCATGTTCAGGCCCAGATCCAGAACATTCAATCCTTTCAGCAATTCACAACCTAGTACTTGGGGTCACATGGAAAAGGCTAACTCACTCGTGTCAGAGTCAAGGGTAGAGTAGACAGGAAATTTGGCTTTCCATCACAGTTCTGAGCCTGCTCTGGGCCTAGGTGAATGAAACCCTCTTTAGGATGATTCTAGGGGCCTACAAAGTTATGCTGCCCTCTGGTCTTACCTCGTTCCAAAGCATGGATTGGAAGGGTCGTGCTCAGATAGAGACAAAAGCCAGGTTGCACATGGGGTGGACTCAGATCCTCCCTCGACAGCAGCCAACGAAGTTCTTGGCACCTTAGGCTCAGCTCCATATTTGTCAAGAGCACAGGCAGGCCTGTGACAGGAAGTAAGAACAGCTGTCCCCAGTGCCAGCATCCACGCACCAGTCCCTGCACAAGGTCTGCTTCTAATCAACTTTCTCTCGGCTAATAAAACGGCTCAATCAAGATTCTTCAACATGGTGGGATGTAGGATCAGAGCTGAGGCCAGATCAGGGCCACAGAATTAGGGAAAAAATGGGAGTTGTGGTTCTCACCATTGGAAGCCGCCTCCAGGAGCTGAGGCCCCAACTCTGGGTCAGCACCCGAGAGGACAGTAAGGCAGGGAGGTGGAGACTGAGTCTCAGATGGTGTACTTGAGTTCAAACTCTCTATCTCGTTCTTTTCTTTCTCTGCTTCTTGCTCCTCCTTCTCTTTCCCCTCTTCACTCTTGTTTTCCTCTGTCTTCTGCTCTTTTGTTTGGCCATTGGCTTTGTTTCTATCCTCTTCTTCTTCGTCTTCTTCATCATCACCTTCGTCTTCTGTTTCATCCTCACTGTCTTGGTTTGTCACATGGTACTTTGCTGGGATGGAAAGATACAAAAGAGTGTTCCTTAGAGGAGGAGCTTGTTTTCTGAGGAGTTCTGGTTACCCAGGGGAGGATTCATGAGTGGAGGTCTAGGGGAAGACAGTTCAGGAAAGCTGCTTTAAGTTCTATGACTCAGTTTTCACATCTGAAAAATTGGGTTGATATTAGTGATATCAACTAATATTGTAGTTGCTCTGGAGATTGTGATAATACACAGTATGAACCAGCACATGACAAGCAATAAATGCTGGGTGTCGTCATTACTCTAAATTCTAAGGAAAGGGCTAGTCATCTCTAAATTTTGACTCCTTTTCTGCCCGTTCTATGGGTTGGTTAGAACCCTTATCTTTTTTTTTCTTTTTTAAACATAAGGTATTCTGGCAGTAGCAACTAAATAGAAATGTCCTCCCTGATAGGGAAATTGGTGCCTGGAGCAGTGGCTTGTAAGTGAAGGGCTATAAACTATTGCACTAGAAAACTCATGGCTGTGATGTTGTAAACCACAAAGGAGTTCTGAGGAACAGCCATTCCCTTCCCAATCCCTTTTCTCCTGCAAGAAACTTTCTAGGTTCCCTTACAAGTGGAAGTTGCTCAGGCCTACAGTTTGTTGCCTTCATTTTCTCTTGCTAATAAATTCCTGCAAATTTAGCTGTTTAAGTCACCATTTATTATCCTTAAGTACTGGCGGCTAGAAGTCCAGCACAGCTAGATTCTCTGCTCAGCCACACACTGGGCTTAGAAGGTCTCATCTGGGGCTAGATGCTCTTCTTCAGGCTCAGTAGATTATTTGCTGTTTGGTTGTTGTTGTTTTTTTTTTAAAAAAAAGATAGGATCTTGTGGTTTCCAAACTGTTGGGCTCAAGCCATCCTCATGCTGTGACTTCTTGAGTATCTGAGCCCACAGATGTGTACCACTGAGTATCTGAGCCCACAGATGTGTACCACTGAGTGTCTGAGTGTCCAGCCCCAGATGAGACAGGCTCCAAAGTACAAACACTGTCTGGAAGAAAAAAAAATCTGGATTTGAATTTTTTCTTTTCCTTTCTTTTCTTTCTTTCTTTCTTTTTTTTTTTCAAGACAGGGTTTCTCTGTAGCTTTGGAGGATATCCTAAAACTAGCACTTGTAGACCAGGCTGGCCTCGAACTTACAGAAATCCACTTGCCTCTGCCTCCCGAGTGCTGGGATTAAAGGCGTGTGCCACCACAGCCTGGCTAAAGATGGTAATCTTGGATTTGAATATTTCTATGATCAGTTTTAAGTTTTCTAAGGTCTGTATCTTGACAATCAAACCAACTTTTAAAGAGATAAAGCAAGAATTATGAAAATGATAATAGTTCATCAGTCCGTTTCGTTGTTCCATTTGTAAATCATGCGGTGACTTAACTTCCTTTATTGTAACTATGTTTCCCATTTATTTATTTTTGTTTCCCACTATTTCACGTGGAAAAAAGCTCTCTCTTTTAATTAATTCCTCCTTTAAAGAATTTCCAATTTTCTCACCAAATCTTCCACCAATGATGAAGATGTGAGGCTGATTGCTGCTGCATAGAAAAAAGAAAGCCTGACTGCATTTCCAGGCTGTTACCTAGTTTGGCAGAAGCCCAAGAAGGGGTTCAGGGGGAGCCTGCCAGGTGAGAAGAAAGAAAAAAACTAGCCAATAGGGCTGTGTGTAGCTCTGGTCTATGCAGGTAGCTGCAAAGCAACGGGCAAATGGCTCTTTTTGTGAATTTGTACCCCAAACCCTGGGCACCAGATGTACCATGAATAATAAAAAAAAAACAGAGACTGGGATTCAAGCTGAAGATCAGAAAAGCAAACTGGCCATCCACTGGCTCTTACCTCCACCTCAGACCAAAATGGACGATCATGCCTCCATGAATCCTCAAACTGAGGCTGAATTTGAGACCTGTCTCCTCCTGTCTTATATGCCTCCCTAGTACAGGTTTCAAAGGCATGCAGCACCACTGCCCAGCCTCTATGGCTAACTAGTGTGGTTGCTGGGATTAAAGGTGTGTGCCATCACTGCCTAGCCTGAATGGCTGACTATTATGACTGCTTTGCCCTCTGATCTTCAGGCCATCTTTATTTATTAAAACACAAATAATATATTACTATATTACAAATAATATAGGTCCCTTATTCAAACATAGCCAATGATATTATTTTCCAAGAATTTCTGAATGTTGTATTAATTTGGGTAATAAAATATTACCCAAAATTATAAGTTTCAGTTGCAAGCAAAATTTCCCATGGTGTTGAGTAGAGCAGAGACATGGAAAATCATGGCTTGGCTAGCCGTGTAGATTTAGGGCCATTGTAACATGAGCTAAAACCAATTAGACAAAAACAGTAAATGAGAACAAATTTATTAATATCATTCAGGCTGGTAAAATATATGTGTTAGCCATAAAAATTCAGTATCTCTTCCATGAAAGGGCAGATCATAGGAAGTTGAGAGTGCTGGGGAGCTCAGACACCCCAGAAGCATAATGCCATACTCATGCCTACCTCTGCTCTTTTTAGGTGGTGCCAACAACGTGTTCTGTTTCTGAGGTAGTGGGTTCAGCCAGGCAAGGGCCTGGTTGCTAGGGTCAAGCAGCAGAGGCCAACGATAACTTCTGTAGTAGATATGGCTTCGTAGCAGCAGGCCTAACAAGCGGGCTGACCTCGCTTGGGGCTTCAGGTCTCTGTCCCACTCCTGCTGTTCAGATCCACAGCTCAGTAAGGTCAAAATCCTGAAGGGAGTACATGTGGGCACCAGAGGGTTCTTTGGTGGCACCCCAACAGATTTCTGCTTCAGTGTCTGTGCCACATCATCTGGCTCCAGGGCTTCCTCAAAGCCCTGACACAGAGACAGCCATTTTTCCAACAATTCTTGGCGCCGCTGTGGTGGGAAGGGACCCAGATAGACAATAGCGGCTGAACACAAGAGGGCATCTCCAAACACAGTCTTGCAGTTATCCTTTATCTTCTGGTGTGGAGAGGTAACCACAACATAAATAGACAGTAAGGTAGGGAGGCATGTGGATGGGCAGACAGAAGGTTATCAAAAGGAACAAGGCAATGCATAAAGTATGGAGAGGGAGGCATGGAAGGACAGAAGAAGCAAGGCAGATGGTGGGCTGTACAATGAACTGGGCGAGAGACATTTGGGAAGGGCTTGTTACCTGGAGCTGTTTGGTCCACATGTGCATGGGTGTGAGCAGTGCAGACTTCATGGGCCATTTGTGATACTGTCCACATTGTGCCTGATTTAAGGTCTCCATGACAAGATTATGAGAGGCTAGGGCATCTTCTAGCTTCTTCGTAAGAGACAAAATTTGCTCCCGCAGATCATGGGCCTGAAACTGGAACTTGCCTAGACGGGCCTGCTCCCGAGCCAGTGTTGCCTCCACCTGCCGCAGCAGCAGGCCAGTGGGCAATCCCCTGCGCTGTGCCAGCCCGTAGCGCAGAACAGCCCAGAGCCAGATGGCCAGGTTTGCTGCAGGGATGCTTACTGACCTCAAGGCTGCATCTCTTATACCTGGAGCTTTCAGAGCTTGGTTTAGCTTTATCAGCTCTGAGTCAGTCAGCTTCTCCTTGGGGAAGAATACCAGTTCCTGGGAGGACGTGTGTTAAGAGGAAGACATGATTGGCCTTGACTCAATGGGCTAACCCTGCCCAATTCTTCCTTTATGTGACCCCTCTCCTTTTATGGTACCTCATCTTCCCTACCTGATAAAAATCTTCAGTACATAACAGCTGCTTGGCATTGGCCCAGCCCGTCTCATGGTGAAACAATTCACACAATGCATCCGTCACCTGGACTACAGAGTCTGGAGGGGCTCGATAGCTTCTTATCTCCTCAAAGTCAGCTACCTGCAGCTGGCTCAAAGGACCTAGAAATGCCTTGCCCATCTAAATGAAAACAGATGCATGCTGCAGAGATCCTGCCATGTTCTGCTCATTCTTTAGGATGTTTCCAAGAAGACTCGTCTCTCTTAAGGCTCCTCATGAGGGTCCATCCCCAAGCCACCCTATAACCTTGTCCTCCCTGCCAAGAGCCCCTATTACTCACCCTACTCTGTCCTCTGACTATCCTAGGAGAGGTTGTTCTCTCCCCAGAAGAGCAGGCAGCAGGAAGAACCTACCTGTTCCAGGAAAGCCTCCTGTTGAGCCTGGAGGGCATTTTGCTGCTTGACAAGATTTTCAATGAGGCTCTCCTGGTGTTGGCATTCTGCCATCTTCTGCTTGTATAGGAGTTTGCTTTCCTCTAGCTGGCTTTGATACATCCCAACATTCTGTGAACAGAGGTCCAGACCTTGCAGCTCCATTCCCTGGGCTGTATGAGACTACCCTCACAGATAGCATGAATGTAACAGAGTGACCTGGTCAGACTCCCAGTAGGCCATAAGAGCTTCTGCTCTGGGTCTGTGATTTATACATCTGATAGCAGAACCTTAAGTGTATGTGTGTGTGGGGGGGTGCTTTTCCTGTTGTCTGACTTCCATACAAGTAACTCCAAAGTTCGTGTAACTATTCTGCTACATCTCTTCTCTTCCCAACTCCTTAGCATCAGTTGTTGGAGAACACTGTCCCTCCCTCTGCAAGCTTTCTCCTTCCCTGGCCTTTCTTCTTTTGCCATCCCTAAACTACTTCCTTCAGAAATGTTTTCAGGTCCCCATTTATTCTCATCCTACACTTTTTTGTTTGTTTTTTGTTTTTTTGCAACAGGATTTCTCTGTGTAGTCCTGGCTATACTGGAACTTGCTCTATAGACCAGGATGGCCTTGAACTCAAGAGATCTGCCTGCCTCTGCCTCCTGAATGCTGGAATTAAAGGCTTGCATCACCATCATCCGGTCCTCATCCTCCACTTCTGTACATCCTTAACATCACGGTTTTGATCCACTGTACTATTGTAGTAGTGTTTTACTATACCATATCATTATTCTAAAAACTCAAATCTCTCTATAGCCACATTTCTTCCCAGCCTTACACTATGTGTCCATATACTTAACCTTTCATGCTCAACCTCTCCAACTCTAAAAATCTCTAAAATGAATGTGTTCATGACTCCTTATCTGTCTTACAATTTTACTCCCTTCCCTGTGTCCTTTTTCCAAAAAACTCTGACAGAATATACTCAGATTGCTCACAGAAGAAATCTCGTTGCTACTCTTGATTCCATCTCTTCTATCTCCTCAAACCTAGCTCAGTTTTTTAGATCTTTTCATTAGACCTCTTGAATGTTTCTTATCTCCATTCCCAATGTCTGTTGACACTTAGAATCTCTCTTGAAATGCATACCACTTTTCCAACTGGTGCTTTGGTTTCTTTTCTTATTCCCTTCCTCCAATCATTTGCCATAGGGCATCCTAATTGGTTTTCTTTAAGTGACTCTCATTGTCTTTGTGTCTTCTTGGCTGCTACTCTTCCCAGGCTCATCGTCTTATTTCCCTGAGCGCCACACTCCCCAGACATTCCTGACTTCAGTTCTAGTGTGGGGGATGATTTCTAGTCTATGTCTCTTCACTCACACTGACGCTTCAACCCAGATGCTCTTCCTCTCCACCTCCTTTTATACATGTCCAAATATTGCCTAGGGAACAACTGCATTGTTGTTTACATTTTAAAGGAATTTTGAACATCTACCTCTGCTGTGGGATAATGCTTTTGTACACTGTAAAGATTTGTCACTCATATTGGTTTAATAAAACACTGATTGACCAGTAGCCAGGCAGGAAGCATAGGCCAGGCAACCAAACTAAGGGAATTCTGGGAGAGGAAAGGCAGAGATTTAATCACCTGCCAGACACAGAGGAAGCAAGATGAGAATGCCTCACTGAGAAAAGGTACCAAGCCATGTGGCTAAACATAGATAAGAATTATGGGTTAAATTGTAAGAGCTACTAAATAATAAGCCTGAGCTAAGAAGCCAAACAGTTTATAATTAATATAAGCCTCTGTGTGTTTCTTTTGGGACTGAATGGCTATGGGATCAGATATGACAGAAATACTGTGTACACATCTTGTTCTACACATGTTGTATTATATACTGAGACTTCCTCCTCTTCCTTTTCCTCCCCTTCCTTCCATTCCCCTTTCTTCCCTCTCTGAAAAACTCTCCTTGGTATATCTTAGAGCACTCTGGACTTTCTCTTTTATAATATAAATAACTGTTTGAAATTGCCGAGACAAATCTAAAGTATGTCCCTTAGCCTCTTTGGATCTCTGTTTTCTCATCAGTAAATCGGAAAGGGACAGTTGCTTCCTGTGCAAGGAATGTATTAATATTTTTATCTACCCATCAGTCTATTCATCTATTTACATGTAGATATAAACACAAATATAAACATAAACTTTGAGGGCCTGGGCAAAACTTATATAGAGTTCAATTAATTTTGTTGGTGATACTAATGAATAAATGAACTAATTGAGTATGAGAAAGGGGAAAATTGGAGGAGACCAGACTGTTTCTAGGGATTTGGCTTAGATGATTAAGGGAATGATAGTGTCATTTGTTGAAGTGGGAAATACTAAAAGGATGTATTATTAAGACCATTTAGTGAATGACCAAATAACCCCTGAGACTATAAATATCTCTTAGCTATATTTGGAGCTTCCTATATTATGCTATAAGGAAACAAGAAATAACAAGACTTTTCAATAAGATCACTAATTTTTGGTATTATTTATCTTGAGAAAATGTAGGACCCAAGGCAAGACACTAGAATTTAGGAAATGTAAGAAAAGAGACCCTGTTTATTTTGAACTTTCTACCAGCCTTCATTCCCCATTTTGAAACTCATCTGAGTCTTGAAGTTGAACCTGGTCAGCATAGGATGACCAGGATAGGAAGAAGGCACCAGCACCTTGAGAACTCCATGGCCCCAATTTACACAGAACACTATGGAATTTATGTAACATAGGGAAATCCTCTGCTCACACTGATATGAAGAGGCCGTCTAGGTACGACAAGTTTCAAGGGCTGAAAGCTTGCTAGGAAGTTGAGCAGACTACCTAATTGAGAATGGGACACCAGTTCACTACTTAGCAGCTAGTCCTCAACCTTTTTCAAAGACTTACGTGGTGTAAACTAAGCAAAGTGCTGTTTCAAAGCCATTGTAAGAAAAACAAAACTTCTCCCTGGTTTGTAAAAACACCTCAAGTGCAGCATTTGGCTCGGAAAGGAGTAACAACTCCCATCCCCACACTAGTTTTAGCACAATATGAGAGGTTTATTTATTCAGAAATGATTGGCTCTGTATATCAAAGCAAAAAGATTAGTGTTTGGACCAGAAAGGAACTGCATTTGGGTTAACATCCAAGTGGAAAGAGGAGATTGATGAGCAAGTGGAGCATGTGTGGGAAGAAGTAGGGGGAACAAAGGAGATGGCTCTTGGAAATACCCAACAGCAGAAGTCAACTAAAGAAATTTAGGACACCAAAGTCTGATATACCATTTAAATATGTTTCTGTTTCTTTTTCTGCAGTGTATGTTTCCCCTCTATTTCCATTTCTCATCCACATTTTCTCATTGTTCACCACAGTCTCATACATTTGGTGTTTTTATTTTTTGAAAGTTCAAAACAAAGTGATATGAAGGGAAATGCAGATGACTCAAGAGGGTAAGGAATTCCAAGATCTCAGAGGCATACCAAACTGTATCGAATCAAGGCAGTCAAGGCATCCAGGAGCAGACACTTGAGATTTCTGTGTTAGAAAAGTACATCTTGTCAAACTGTATCATGGGAAACTTTGGGCCCTGGGCTCTAATGGAAGAGACAGCAGGGATCAGAGTGACCCTCCATGAAACAAGAGAAACAAGAGAAACAAGAATCAAGATTCACTTATGTTGATTCTGCCCCAGTCCCTTTTTGTTTTCTTGTTTTGACACAACTGTGTAAATCTCACAGTCTTCTCCCTCTTTACCTTGTAGGAGCCTTTTAGCCGCATTTCCAGGTCACTTAGCAGGTTAGTTTGGGTGCTGTGCCTCTCAACCAACAGCCTCAGAGTCTTTAGGGCAGAGTGGATACTGGAAACACAATATGCCAGTGAGTGGACTCAAGAGAGTGGAAAGAAGTAGATTGCAGGGATGGGGATGCTTACCGCTGGGCCTTCATTCTCATCTTCAGGATCATCTGCTGCTGCAGCAGCAGGAACATGTCCAAGAAGTCCAGGAATGTCTTAGGTGTGACAAGTGGCAGTGCAGGGCAAACATGCTGATGATAACAGGCAGATGAAAGGTGGATGAGAGCCATGATTTTGGCAACATTAGGAATGAAGGCCTTGATATCTGGGCACTTTAAAGAGCCTGAAATGGATATAGTTTTAGTCTGGCCTTGTAGGATTGAAGAGGAATGAGAAAGGAAGGAAAGCAGAAAATATCAGTCAGGAAGCAAGGAGAGGGAGGAGAAGAGCGAGAGGATGGGAGAGACTGCCCTGAGCAGTAGCTCTCACTAGCTGGTTGGGGTGAGTGGTAGGAGCAAATGGAAAGTGGCTCACCATCATCAAGAGGTAGACTCTGAGCATCCTCTAGATGGTATTGGGCAATCCTGACGAGGGAAGCTTGGTCCCAGGGTTCATAGCGGTCAACATTGGCAATGGTCAGTTGAAGGAGCTTCAGGAAAAGAGTAGAGGGCAGCTGCTTTTGGGCTTGGTCATCTCCCATCAAGAAGAACATGTGCAAGTTGCTACATACTTGCTGGTAGAACCTGTAAGTCAGGGACTCAGCTGTCATCTTTCTTTAGACCTGTTTACATATCCACCCCACCCGTTAGCCCACATTTTCAGAGTTCTCATGACAGCCTATAGATTTTCTCTTGTCCTTTTAGTCAGGAAACAGTAAAAGCAGAGCTGACATGGATGGATTCTGGGCCTTACCTATGCAATACTGTGTCCTTCTTAATGATGAGTTTGACCACAGGGTTCTCCTTGGGGAGATGTTCTTCGATGTTATCCAGATCTGCCTCTGTGTACTGGTCAGGAAAGCTACCTGAGGTTGCCAGGGCCACCAGCTGGTGAAAGATAGCAACATTCACAGTCTCAGGCACCAGAAGAGCCACTGGCTGGTTTAATACTCCAGCACACCAGCTGGCATCTCGGAGACACTGGAAAATAGCTTCCTCTGACTCAGATGGCAGGTGAAAGAGGTGAGCCTGACAAATGCTAGAAGCCAGACTGACGGCTGTATGGCGCCCAGTACCCCGAGTCACTGAGAGCAGCAGGCCATGCTGCCGGTGCCTAGCCAGAACTCGGACCAGGCGGGCCACATGCTGGGTCATCATGTGGCCCTGAGTGAGGTGAGGATTCAGCTTCAACCGGACAGCTGAGGCAGCCAACTGCTTTTCCAGAGTTTCCCACTGCCGCTCCAAGTACAAGTTGGGGCTCTCGGGGTTAGATCCTAGTGTAAGTTCCAGACTGAACACTAGGTCTGAGGGCTTCTCCTGGGGATAGAACAACAGCACGGGTAGCAACAAGGGTAAACTAAAGTCCATCTGGGTTGCTGTCTGCCACTCACTCTTGGGTGTCTCTGACTGGAGCTTACCAATAGAAGCTGTTATCTCTTCCTCCTGCTGAGCCATCTGACTTACACTTCCTGTGTTCTTGTTTACCAGTCTTAGGGGTAATGGTGCTAGACTGCTGTCACCGAGAAATGAGCCTGTGGTGATCTGAAGACCATACGGGTCCTCTTCTTCCTCTGACTCACTGTCACTGCTGCTTAGGTCCTCCCACTGGGCTATTTCTCCTTCCGATTCTACTTCGGGCACTTTTTCCTCCTCCACTTCCTCCTCAAAGTCCTTGACCAAGGGCTGAGACTCTGGCCCACAACAGAAGACACTCTGAGCTATTTCTAGAAGCAGCTTAGCACAATGGGAACGTTCCCTATCACTGTTCAGCCGGTCACAAAATGTCCTTTGTGCCTCATGTAACCAAAGACGCACCACAACGCGCATGGACATCATGATAGTCAGGCGAGTTCCACGTAAGCCGGACACCCGGCGCAGATGCTCCTGGTGATGGAAAGAATCTACAAATCCTCGTGAGCCCATTCTGGTAGGCAGCAGCTGCAGGCTTTGCAGAATGTGGCTCACAGAATGCAGGGAAAAGCGGTAATGTGGGCGGAGAGGGGAAGGCATGAAGCAGTTGCACACAGCCTCCCAAGCCTCCACCGAAGCTCTGACGAGGGCTCTTGCCAGAGTGTGCTCCCGCTCCACAGAGGGGAAGCGCTCCAGCCAGGCTTGGATACTAGGTACATGCCTTCTCAAAAGGCTGTCCTGGCTCATGCTGTCCAGGGCCAGCACTGTGAAGAGTCGGAAGAGACGTGGACAGAGTGGGCGCTCAGAGTAGCCTGGCACTGTAGCAGTGGCAAGGAAGTTGACTGTAGGCTGCAGCGTCTGTAATTCCAAGGTGTTTCGAGCATAGATGGTGCCTTCCATTGCCTGGCGCAGAGTCTCCAGCACTGGCTGGCAGCTCTTCTCTGGGTCTGTAAAACATTGAGATGAGCATTGAAAGGCATTTGCAAGTCCACACGGAAGTACCCAGTGTACCTCCTATCCCTGCCTCCTCTCTTTCCAGCGCACAGAGTATTCTGTGTGCCTGATGATTTGGCACTTGGTAACCTCTGAGCAAGTTGCTCTCTCTCCACACATTCCTAAGTGAAATATGTCTTCTCTCTCCTCCCTTAGATCCTACTTACTCATTGCCTAAAGGAAATGGATACTGTAATAAGATTTTTCAAATGAGATGTTAGAAACTGAGTCAGATCCCAATTAGAAAGTACAAATCATCTTCATTATAGAACGTACAGTTATATCACACCTATGATTTGATCCAGTCATGGTGGTACATACCTATTGTCCCAGCATTTGGCAGATAAAGACAGGTGGATCAAGAGTTCAAGGCCACCTTTGGCAACAACTGGCTTCAGGGTCAACCTGGACTACAGGAGAACTTGCCAAAAAAAAAAAAAAAAAAGCCAGGGAGATGACTCAGTGAGTATGACTGCTAGCCAAGCAAGCCTGACAACTAGAATCCAATCCCCATGTCAAACAGCCAGCACACCTACTGAGAGATGGGAAGTAGGAACAGGAGAATTTCAGGGAAGCCAGCCAGCCTGAGTACATAACACAGCATTGAAGCAAGAGAGATCCTGCTGCCTTAGGAAGGAAAGAGAGAGCCAGTTCCTCAAAGTTGTTTCTTGACCCCTATACACATGCTGTGGCACAAGGTGCACCTGTACACACACACGCATGTACACACACACCCCACAACTAAATAAAATTTTATATGACTTTGATATGTGATTTACAAGAGAGAGGCAAGGAAAATGAGAATGGAAATGGGAAGGGAGTAAAGATACATATGTATAAAATACCATAACAAAACCCATTATTTTATATCCTAATATAAAAACATTAAAGAGAAAGATGTGATTTACAGCCAAATATATATTTAAACATATGGTGGAGTCCTAACAATGCGGACACCTCTGTAAACCGCCATTTCAATGCTACTGAGATTTCATCAGCCCTAAAAGCTCCTTCGTGCTCCTCCAGTCATCCTGCCCCGTCTACGACATGCAGATATTGCTCTACAGTCACCCCCACTCCGTCTACCACCATGCAGACATTGCTCTACAGTCACCCCCACTCCGTCTACCACCATGGAGATATTGCTCTCTAAACTGAGTTCTACCACTGTCAACTATGCCCCTTACAGAAGTTTGTATAAATGGAATCATATAGTAGCTTCTTGATCATACTGTTTTCTTTCACTTTGCCGGCTTTTGACAGTCATACATTTTTATATAACAGTAATTTGATATATTATTATACAACACATAATATTCCAGTACAAAAATGCCACAATTTGTAGATCCATCAGCACATGAAGGGGTATTAGGTAAGTTCCAGGATTTGGCTTTTCTAGATAATGTTTATCCATGTATTTTATTTAGGGACACATGTTTGATTTTTGCCTCAGGCAAATACAAGAAAACAACAATATTGTAATATAGTTTCTTGTTTCTCCCCACTTTTCCTTCTACCTGCATTCAAGGGGCATAGTTGGCAGTGGTAGATGGCGTTAGCAGTAGCTTTCCCCTCATTTCCTCCTCCCAGCTCCTCACCAGAACTAGCCAGGTGCAGATCTTCCATCAGGAAAAGGAGTGAGCCTTTGGAATCCTGGTAATACCCCAGGAATGAGCCGGCGGCTTGTGTTTGACCGTGGACCCCTCTGCTCAGCACGTGACGAAGGTGGGCAGAACTTAAAGCAGAGTGAATGGGGCTGTGGATGGAAGGGTGACTTGGCTCCACTAGCACCTCCACAAAAGCTGACTTCCCTGTGGCTATCTCTCCAGCAAGCAGCACTGGCTGTCCATCTGATAGAAGCAGGTTCACCACATACAAAAGCCGTTCGGTCTGCAGGATTGGATCAGGGCTTACTGTGGCAGCTCCAAATTGGACAACAGTCAAGCAGAAAATTAGTTCTAGGGAAATTGTCTTAAAGCTGTTCTTGTTTGTCTGTTTTTCAAGACAGGGCTTCTCTGTAGCTTTGGAGCCTGTCCTGAAACTAGCTTTTGTAGACCAGGTTGTGCTTGAATTCACAGAAATCCGCCTGCCTCTGCCTCCCAAGTGCTGGGATTAAACGCATTCACCACTGTCACCTGGCTCTTAAAGCTGTTCTTAAAGAACAAATCATGTATTCTTGTAATTGTGGAAACACCAGACTATGGGAACTTCTGGGCCTCAGGAGGACCTCAAATGTGGGCCACCCTCTAGCTTAGCTCCTTAAGCCTCAACCCAAACTATTTCCCCACTGTCTCCATACCTGGGAAGAGGGCTGGAAAGTACCCAGGTTTCCTTTGACACAGCTGCTCAGGTACTGGCCGGCAAAGGGGACCAGTGTTCCATCTTCAAGGTTTACATGTAGATCAAACACCAAGGCTGAAGGAGGTGGCTCAGGGTAGTTGGATAGGGAACTAATAAAATTCCTCATGAAGTTATCAAAGAGAGGCCAGTGCCTGCTCAGAGGACACATAGGTAAGAGTCAGATAGTCATAAAAGTTCCATCTATGACTTTCATATACTCCACCATATCCCCCACTGTAATGTTCCATGAATTTTAATCACCACAGACCAGTCTACATCAGTTCTTTCGTACACTATACTTCCCATTCTTGTGGTACCTGGATGGAAGGTGTGCTCCAAAGCCCCAGATTGTGGCGAAAAGAAAGCTGCTGATAGCCAGCAAATGTCTCCTCTGCTTTTTAGTCATGCCGTTGCTATCAGACTGGACCCTGCTTTTTGAAGATTTGAAGCTTTGTGTTGCAAGATCGCTGCCACTAAAGTCCTCTGCAATGGTCACCATGGTCAGAATAGGAATCCATCGAAAAAGAAGATGGAGGGAAAACAGAAGTTGGCTGCATTACTTCTCTCCACTTTTGGTTCCCTGAACCAGCTTCACTGAGGAACCCATGCTTCTCTGCCTCAGATGTAACCCAGTTCTCCTCAGGATCCCAGCTCTCTCAAAAGCCAACCTTTCTACCTCCCTACCTTGAACACGTGGCTTCTCCTCTTCATATACGCGTAGATGGGGGTCAAGCAGAGCACGCAAGATGCGGGCCAGGCTGGCAACTTCCGCCACACCTGGGCAAACAGTCTGATGCCCATGTACCTGTAGCAGAGAACTGGCACCTATGCGGGTAAGGAATCGGAGCATTGCAGGCACCAGTACTTCAGCTAAGCTGTTGAGCTCAATGACTGTCTCTTGCTGCAGATGGTATTCATGAGGCAGGGATGCCATCAAGACATTAAGCATGCACTGCCATGTCTGCTCCCCACAACACCAGACTAGAGCGCACCGGCCTACCACTGTAGGAGACATGCCTGCTGCCTCTGCCACCTCCATCAAGAAAAAGGTACTCAGGGGTCGTGCTATCTGTTGACCATTAGGGAGACTCAGCTGGGGAGGGTCACTTAGGAGACAAGTGATGGAGTCTATCCATGTAGGATTAGGGGTCCCATCACATACTATCCATTGTTGGATCCTTGTGAATTCCTCTGACTGCTCTTCTGAGTTCACATCCTTACAATGAGGGGCAGCATGAAGAAGCTTGGGGAAGATGCCATAGTGCCAGGAGGGACCCTCTGACCACCCTAGGAATTCTTGGGAGCTGAGCACACTAGGATATAGGTGGGCAATTTCCACAGACTGGAAACCCTGGGTTGAGGTTTGTTCCATGGCTGCCAGCCGATTCTGAATCTTAAACAAGCTCTTCCAACAACTACTCTTGCCACTGCCTGCAGGGCCCAAGAGCAGAATACCAGAGGCCCGGCTCAGGGCCTGACTGAGCTGCTCCAGAGACATCAATACGTTAGGGGTGGGAAGCAGGCCTACCTGCTGGAGTTCTTCCACCACTACGGACCTCATCAGTCTATGGGTCACAGGTTTCGCCAGCATGTGACTAGCGTTAGGGAAAATCCCACAGAGCAGCTCTCGGAGCTTTTGCAGGCGGAGCCCATCAAGGATGCTGAACAGCGGTGAGTGCAACAGGGCTTGCAGTAGGGCAGCCTCCTCAGGCGCAGCTAGGTTGTCTGGCTGCTCGGAACTGTTTTCCTCCACAGGTGCATTTAGCGTCTGTACTGTATCTTCCAGCACCTGCTTGAGCAGTGACAAGCGGCAGGGCAAGGTCCCAGACACTAGCTCGCGCTCTAAGGAGAATAATTTGGATAGCCGAGTAGCCATTCGAGAGGCATCCTTCACCCCTGCTCCCAGCAGGTAAAGTTCTGCCACTCGGTGCAGGTCAGGCAGTGCCAAGGCCACAGGACGCAGTAGCAAGTGCAGATTGGCAGGCACATCAGGGCTCAGGGCATGAAATGTCAGGAAACAGCCATAGCCAAGGCGCATGAACACATGGTGCTTCTCAAAGAAACCAGCGCCAATGAATAGGGGCTTAGTAGGGTTTATGGTACTGATGTTTTGGGAAGCTTTCTGGTACAATGGAGCATAAAGATGGCGTAGTTCATCCAGACGCTGGCCCAGGGCAGAGAGCAAGCTAGGAGGCAGTTGGTGAACGTTCTCCAACAGCAGCCAGGCTCCACCCTGAAGGGCACCATTCAAGTAATTGCTCAGACATCGGAACTCTATCTGGGGCAAGCAGGGCATCATTACCAGTTGGCGGCCCAGGGCCCATGCCAGGCTATTCACTGTTTCTGACTTGCCCAAACCATCTCGGCCAAGTAGGGTCCCACAGGCCACCTCCTCCATGGCCAATAAGAGAACCAACATTTGCCTCTCATGCATCAGGCTGGGTAGAGGCCCCAGTTTTGGTCCCAGATACTCATAATTGTATATAAAGGACCGGCCAAGCACATCTATCCAGCACACAGCTGGTGACAGAGAGGGCTCAGCAGATGCAACAGTCTTAAGATACTGCACGGGCCCCTTGGGGTTTGAGTGAGATGAACCCAAGTGATACTTAAGTTGGCGGACCCAGTGGAAGTCTGTCAGATCGCTGACCCGGTGCTTTCCCAGGAGCTGTGCTACATCCCGATGATTCACTGCCATGACCAGCAGGGTACTGAATAGGCTAGTCTGGCGAACAGAAGGCAGAGGGTGCTCACCCCGGGAGCTCCTCTGAGATCGTATAAACTGCACCAGCACTTCCAGCTTGTGTACATGTATGGGAATCATCCGCATGGTCCCCCACTCAGACAGAAGCTCCTCCATCTCAGCCCGCCACACTACCTCCTCTGCCACCAGTATGCACTGCCATGGAAAAGCCTCCACTGCATCTAGCCAGTGCTGGACATAGAGCTGCATGGGCACCTTTCTCTGTTGAGGCAGTGCCTTCAGTGCCTTAACTAGGGATGGGCCTTGAGCAAGGCGGGTGGCGACACAGCTCTGCAGCAAGTTCACAGTTACAAAACGCAGACACTTCTCCAAAGAGGCTAGCCACTTAGGAAGATCTGGGTGTAGAGGAAGAGGACCCTGAAGTTTCACTTTCTCTCCACATGCCCCTAGCACAGCAATTGTCTCCACTGGAGTCTGTGTACTTGAGCTTGGCTCCTGGTCATTCTTGCTTTTCTCATTAATTGGGTTGGACCTGAAGTCCACAGCTTTAATGTGAGGAAAGCAGCGCTGTGCCCATGGTTGAGCCTCACAGGTCTCTAGAGGGGCAGCAAGCAGGGCCACCAGTTCACTGTCACTGAGGAAGAAAAGGCGGGGGAAGCGGGAACATACCCCATAGAGGACATCCTCCAGAGCCATGATGATGGCCTCCAGCTCCACAGATCCTGCTTTTAGTAGTTGTTGTAGATGCTGACCTTGAAAGTAAGGGCTCCTCTTGGCATTGGGCACTATTAGTGACAGAACCATTGGGTCAGCTACAGAGATTCGCATTAGGGTCCGATACTGATCATCCATGACTTTGAAACGGGCATTCTGTGGTGAGAAAGGTGGTAGTGAGTGTAATCTGACAGCTCCACTCTTCCATCCAGAGCCCTGACACTCAGGAGCTCTTGCCCACCTTCTTTAACTCCCTTCCCTACCAGCTCAGCACTAGGAAACTGGATCTTCATCTCATGTAGAACTTTATTTAGAAAAATCCACTTCTGCTGGAATGCCACCCACACCTCCAGGAGGGCACCTGTGTAAACAGTCAGAAAAATACTTGAGGGAAATGGGTTCTAACACCTTCAAGGGGGTCTAGCATACACCTGACCTCTCCTGTAACCCACTAGCCCCAACAGAAACATACTGCTCAGCAGAACCCAAGGATCTGATTAGAGGAAGTAAAGCAGTCATTAGAAATAAAGACCTGGTCACATCAAGCCAAGACGGAGCCTGGAAAGTCCTTACTTTGTCCTTCACATCTTCTATCCAACGTCCCCCTGCTACCCTCATACCTCTGGGACAGTCTACATTAGGTTCCATCCATCTACCCAACTAGAACGCTATACTCACCTAGGCTGTACATGATGGACACCCACTCTAAAGCTATTTTATTCAACTCTCCTGACTTTTGGATGGCTAGGATCTTGAATAGTGCCTGAAGACTGTTCTGGATGGCATCTTGCAGGCTGCTGTAGTCTTAGGAAGAAAAAGATGTGCTGTCAAAGCTCAGCTAAGCTGGTATCATTATATGTGACTCAAGGGCAGGGACTGGGGCAGGAAAGAACACATCTTGACCTTCCAGGAAAGGCAATCACTTTAAGACCCTTTCTGTCTTCAGAGATAGAGCTGATATGGTAGAGAACTGAGACCTTAAAACAGGCACTATGGGTATAGATGCTAACCCAGCGGATTTCTCCCGCTACATACCGTCATTCTTATCTACTTATACAGGCGTTCTTTAATATACCAGAGCTTCATCTTAGAAAGACACCTCACGGCTCCAAGTCCCTACATAGTATGTTTGCATCAAGAAGGCCTATTCTGGGATGACTGGGATCCTGGGAGACCAAAATTGTCTCACATGATCTTAGCACGGGGCTCCTTGGGGGTCACATAAAGAATTAGCTTGTATGAGGCCAGGCCTGGTACAGCATAGACACTAGATTAACAATAGAATTTAGAGAGATTGGTTTGGATAGATGTAGGACTCTCTAAATACTCATGTTTGAAAGAAAATACACAGTATCTACATCTCAGAGTATCTCTAGAGAAAACAATATTGGAACAGTTTGGGTCCTTTGTTTTATCCCCCTTTAAATGATCTCTAGAGGGTGGGGAAGCATCTGTTGAGCGTGTCTAAATAATGTGGAGCAGAGTACAAATCCCCATAGCTATCTGACAGTTCAGATGCCATATTTCCTTTATATACACACACAGAGCTGAGATTCTCATCTGATCTTGAGAAGGTTAAAACAGGCTGTGTGAAGTCTTAATCTAGCTATGTCTGCCAACACATTATATGTTTTAAAAGAACATTTTCTTGGGGGGGGATATTTTGGATGTTGAATTACCCTTTTCATGTATGTCCTTCCTAATTTTGCTAAGATTCGAAAATGGAGATTGAATGATTAGTAGTGTCATTAACCCTATAATAACATGTCTTCCCGTGGTAAGAGTTAAAACCTAAGTTTTCATCTTCTTGGGCTCATTCAAGCAAGTGAAGTCACTAGTTTCATGGTGTCCTTGACCCAGGGCTGATACAGAATCCTAGTGTGGAGAAAGGACAAAACTGTAGGGAGAAATGTCAAGCATACAATATTCTGTGTGAGTTAGAGCCAGTGAGAAAGGTGAACAGAAAGTAGGTTAAGGACTATGACCTCAGATGAAGATTGGAAGAGTCCATTTGGTACCTGAAGTTATATTTAGAGGTAATTTAAGAACTAAACTTCACAAAAAAAATCCATATTTTGTACTTCACTAGTTTTTAAAATTACTTTAGTAGCAAAGGTATCTAAGGGCATATGGGAAAGCCAAATACAACAAAGAAGCAGATTGACAAACTGTGGATCAAACATGAACAAAAAAGATCAGCATTAATGTGCTTGTCCAAAGTGGGAAGAGAATGTCCTTTGAATCATGGTATGAGTATTAACTACAGATGTCTGGTCTTAATATGTTTCAGTCAACACTGAAAATGATTAGTCCTAAATAAGAGGTGGGAACAAGAATTCCATGTGAAAATAGATAGGAAATGTATTCCAAACCAAATAATGAACATGGATGCATGATAAAGATAAAGAAAAGACATATACTGTAGGACAATGGACTTGTACCCTGAAAAGATTTGTTATTTGTATTGGTTTACTGAAATGCTGATTGGAAGTATAAGCGGGGCGGCCAGAACAGGAGAATTCTGGGAAGATGAAAGACTCAGTCTGTATTTGTTACCCAGATGCCAAGGAAGCAAGAACAGAATGCCTCACTGATAAAAGGTACCAAGCCACGTGGTTAACACAGACAAAAATTATGGGTTAATTTTAGATGTAAGAGTTAGCTAAAACTACGGCTAAGTTATTGCCCAAAGCAGTGTTGTAATTGATACAATTTCTATGTTATTATTTGGGTCTGGGCAGCCAGGAAACAAATGAACAGTCTCTGTTTACAGACATATCCCATATCCTCTCTTCTATGACAAATTTACACTACCTATACATTTTTCCCAGACAGACTCATAAGTAGCCCAAATGCATCTACTCTTCATTCTCCATTGCTACCATTCTAGTGTGGGCTATTACTGCTTTTCACTTGTGTTACACAAGTTGTCTCTTAACTGATCTTCCTTTCTCTATTCTTTGCCTCCCAATTCTCTGTTGAATTAAACTCTGACTTTATCAATTTCCTACAACAAAATATTCTCTATGATTTAAATATTACTAAATAATTTCTTTTGTAAACTTCTCGTGCCTATTTCTTCTTCCAAGTAGTCTTTGGACTCTATCTCAGTAAGTTGGAAGGTCCTCTAGAGGATTTTCTCCTTTCTATCATAGATATACTGACTGTATTAATCAGAAGTTTCATTGCTATGATGAATTACCTAGTACACACAACTAAGGAGGGATATATTCATTTTTATTCACAGTCTCAAAGTTTTTGCCAATCATGGAGGAGGATAAACTTAGCAGTTTACATCATTGTGGCCAGGAAGCAGAGAAAAGGGAAAATGGGAAGAGCCAAAGCAAGATATGACTCTCAAGAACACCCCCCACTGAAGTACTTCCTCCAATTAGGCCTCATCTCCTACTTTTTACCACCCAACAATGCCATCACACTATGAATCCATCAAGAGATTAAAGCCTTAGGATCCCAAACCCTCAATACATGAGCATGAGGGAGATTTGCAAATCAAACAACTACAATGGTACTGTCTAATGATCAAAATCCAACAGAAGTGTATAAATCTCAAGCTATTACTTAGAATACACCAATATTTTTGCTCCAAAATAAATTGTATGCCTGATTAAATGCAAGTTAAATGAGCTAGCTTGAAAACCTTTTTGTGTGAGTTCTGTCCCAGTTTTAATTATATAATCTAATCTAATAAAGTAACTACTGGAGTATGTGTGAGAAAGGGTTTCTGTTGTTAAGGAAACAATATAAGGTAAAGGCAAGCTAATAAAAGCTCTTGTTCTTAGAATAAAATGTTAGCAAACAATTTAGCTAAAAGAAAAATCTCAAGTCCTGGCCAGGCAGTGGTGGTGCATGCCTTTAATCCCAATACTCAGGATGCAGAGGCAGGTGGATCTCTGTGAATCTGAGGCCAGCCTTGTCTGCAAGAGCTAGTTCCATGATGGGCTCCAAAGCTGCACAGAGAAACCCTGTCTCAATAAACCAAAATCTCACGTCCTAGCTAGTTAGCTAGCTACCTATCATGATTACATATTTAACTAATTTCTTGAGTTCTCTGATACCAATTATGTTGAATAAGAGAATGTCTCCTCTATCAGCAGTTCCCAACACATCTTTTTATACTTTTTGTCATAGTTAGCTTCAGATCTTAACTAGACACATCTGGGAAGAAGGGACTTCAGTTAAGAAACTACTTTCATCTGTGGACATTTTCTCGATTACTAATTGATGTAGGAGGACCTCTTCTACTGTAAGCAGGCCATACCTAGGCAGGTAGGCCTTAGCTATATAAGAGAAGTAACTAAGTAAGCCAGAGGAAGCAAGCCAGTAACAATCATTCCTCTGTGGTCTTTGCTTCATTTCCTGTCCCAGATGCTTGCCTTGAGTTCTAGTCTTGGCTTCCCATGATGATGGACTGTTACCTATAAGACAAATAAACCTTTCTTCCCCTAAGTTGTAAAAGTGCTGCTCCCTATGTGTAATGTTTTTCTCACATTGCAAGTCTGACAAACTTACTTTTTCAAAAGTTAGTCTGGGACCATTGTCTAAAGTGGTACTTCTCTTAATAACCCTGGTTTTTTGAGCTGGTCTTCTCTTTCCTACTGCCCTCAATATGGTAGTCTATCATGCATTTAAACGTATGATATTGGCTGGGTGATGTTGGCGCACATCTTTAATCCCAGCCTTAGGGAGGCAGAGGCCAGCAGATCTCTGTGAATTTGAGGACAGCCTTGTCTACATAACTAGTTCTAGGACAGCCAAGATGACATAAAGAACCCCCATCTTGAAAAAAAAACGAAAATAAATAAATGAAAGGGGGAGGAAGAAAGGAAGGAAGGAAGGAAGAAAGGAAAGAAAGAAAGAAAGAAAGAAAGAAAGAAAGAAAGAAAGAAAGAAAGAAAGAAAGAAAGAAAGAAAGAAATGCCTGGTGTTCTCGGTCTCTCTCACTGGGCTGTAAGTTTGAGGGATACAGGACTGTATCTGTTAATCTCAGAGTGCCATGTGTTTGGCACAAAGGAGGTCCATGCATTCAATGTGAGAATAAAAGAACAAATGGTTCTTTATCTTTCAACAAGGTGGCCAATCAGCAGACATGCATATCTTCATGAAGATCCTGATGGGCAAGACCATCATCCTCAAGACTGAACCTGGTGACACAATGGGAAATGTCAAGGCCAAAATTGAAGACAAGGAAGGCATCCCACCTGACAAGCAGTGGCTGATGTCACCAACAAGTAGCTGGAGGACAGCCACACCCTGCCTAACTACAACATCCAGAAAGTGTACACCCTGCACATGGTGACATCATTGAAGTAGCCCTTAGTGAGCTCACCCAGAAGTACAACTGCCACATTATGCCACAAGTACTAGTTTTCCCTTACCTATTGTCCTCTATATGGTGATCTATCATGAATTTGAATGTGTGATCAACTGCCACAAGAAGTATAGCCACACCAACAACCTGTGCCCCAAGAAGAAGGGCAAATAAAGCTGAAGTCCTGCTTGACCCCAAACTCAGGGACCCAATATAGTTCTCTTCTGTCAACTGGGGGGTGGGGAGAATAAATGGATGAGTGGGAAAAGGGTAAAATCAGCAGGATAAAATCCAGAGGACAGAGTATTGACAAGTAGAAATAAATAACCACAAAGAATTTCCTTCTTTTTCTTTCTTTCTTTCTCTCTCAAGACAGGGTTTCTCTGTGTAATCCTAGCTGTCCTGGAACTTGATCTGTAGACCAACCTGACCCCAAACTCACAGAGTTCTACCTGCTTATTCTAGGATTAAAGGCATGGCATGTGCCACCATTACTCAGCTTTAAAAAAAAGACTCAAATTATTCCACAAAAATAGAAACAGAAGAAACATTGCCAAATTCATTTTATGAGGCCATAGTCACTCTGATACCCAAACCACACAAAGACTCAAGAAAGAAAGAGAATTACAAAACAATTTCCCACATGAACATAGATGCAAAAATACTCAATATAATATTCCAAAACGGAAGCCAAAAATATATCCAAAAGATCATTCACCATGATCAAGTTGGTTTCATCCCAAAGATGCAGGGATGGTTCAACATATGAAAATCTGTCAATGTAATTCACCACATCATGTAAACAAACTAAAACCACAAAATGACATGATCATCTCATTGGGTGCTGAAAAAGCTTTTAACAAAATCTAACTAACCCCTTCATGATAAAAGTCTTGGAAATATCAGGGATACAAGGAACATACTTAAACATAATAAAGTCAAAATAACAGCAAGTCAATAGCCAACATCAAATTAAATGGAGAGAAATCTAAAGCAATTCCACTAAAATCAGGGACAAGACAATGATGCCCACTCTCTCTATCCTACTCAATAGAATACTTGAAGTGTGAGCTAGAGTAATAAGACAGCTGAAGTAGACCGGAAAGATTCAAATTGGAAAGGAAGAAGTCAAACTTTCTCTATATTTATGTATATTTGATAATATACATAAGTGACTCTAAAAATTCCACCAGGGAAGCTGATAAACACTTTCAGGGAAGAGACTAGATACAAAGTAAACCAAATAAATTCAGTGACCCTCCTATATACAAAGGACAAATGGGCTGAAAAAGAAATTAGGGAAACAACACCTTTTACAATACCCACATGATGTGGGAGACCACTCTGTGTGCTGTGATTACCATTAATGAATAAAGAAACGGCCTTGATAGGGCAGAACTTAGGTAGGCAGGGAAGATGGAACTGAATGCTGAGAAGAAGAAGGCAGAGTCAGAGAGACGCCATGGAGCTGCCAGAGTCAGACATGGTGAATCTTTGCCAGTAAGCCACTGCCACGTGGCGATATACAGATAAATAGAAATGGGTTAAATTAATATATGAGTTAGCCAGTAAGAATCTAGAGCTAATGGACCAAGCAGTGTTTTAATTAATACAGTTTCTGTGTGATTATTTCGGGGCTGAGCAGCTGGGAACCAACAAGCAGCTCTCGCTCTTCCTACACCCACAAATAAAATAAAATATCTTGGTGTAACTCTAACTAAGCAAGTGATAAACCTGTATGACAGGAAGTTCAAGTCTTTAAAAAAATAATTTGGAGAAGATGTCAGAAGATGGAAACATCTCCCATGCTCATGGATTGGTAGGGTTAACATTGTAAAAATGGCCATCTTACCAAAAGCAATCTACAGATTCAACACAATTCCTATCAAACTTTGAACAAAATTCTTTTTTTTAACTATTTATTTATTATGTATACAATATTCTGTCTGTGTGTATGTCTGCAGGCCAGAAGAGGGCACCAGACCACATTGCAAATGGTTGTGAGCCACCATGTGGTTGCCAGGAATTGAACTCAGGACCTTTGGAAGAGCAGGCAACACTCTTAACCACTGAGCCATCTCTCCAGCCCAACAAAATTCTTTACAGACCTGGAAAGAACAATACTCAACTTCATATAGAAAACAAAAAACCCAGGATTGATTAAAAAAAAATCCTATACAGTAAAAGAACTTTTAAAGGTATCACCATCCCTGATATCAAGCTTGTGCTACATAGCTGTAGTAGTAAAAACAACATGATATTGGCATAAAAACAAGCAAGTTGGCAAATGGAACTGAATTGAAAACCCAGCTGTAAATCCACATAATATGGACACCTGATTTTTTTTTTGACAAAGAAGCCAGAAATATACAATGGAAAAAAAGAAAGCATTTTCAACAAATGGTGCTGGTCTAACTAGATGTCAGCAAGTAGAAGATTGCAAATTGATCCATATATATCACATTGCACAAAACTCAAGTACAAATTAATCAAAGACTTCAACATAAAACCAGACATACTAAACCTGATAGAAGAGAAAGTGGGGGATAACCTTGAATGCCTTGGCACAGGACATAGCTTACTGAATATAATACTGATAGTACAGGTACTAAGACTGACAATTAATAAATGGAATCTCATGGAATTGAAAAGTTTCTGTAAGGCAAAGGACACTGCCAATAGTACAAAATGGCAGCTTATGGGAAAATATTTCACCAACCCTACATCTGATAGAGGGCTGACTGCCAAAATATATAAAGAACTCAAAAAACTAGACATCAACAAACTAAATATTTAATTAAAAATGGGGTACAGATCTAAACAGAGAATTCTCCACAGAGGAATTGTACATGACTAAGAAACACATGAAAGGAATGTTCGATATCCTTAACCATTAGAGGACTACAAGCGACTCTGAGATTCCATCTTACACTTGTCAGAATGCTAAGGTCAAAAATACAAGTGACAGCTCATGCTGGTGAGGATGTGGAGCAAGGGGAACACTTCTCCACTGCTGGTGGGAGTGCAAACTTGTACAGCCACTTTGGAAATCAATATGGCAGTTTCCTAGAAAATTGCGAATGGATCTACCTCAAGACCCAGCTATAGCACTCCCTGGCATATACCCAAAGGATGTCCACCATACCACAAGGACACTTGCTCAGCTATGTTCATAGCAGCTCTATTCATCCAGCTCAACTCATGTCCATTGCTGCTCTATTCATAAGAGCCAGAAACTTAAAATAACCTAAATGTTCATCAACTAAAGAATGGATGAAGAAAATGTGGTATATTTACATAATGGAGTTATTATTCAGCTGTTAAAAAAACAATGACATGAAACTGGCAGGCAAATGGATGGAACTAGAAAAGATCATCCTGAGTGAGGTAACTCAGACTCAGAAAGACAAGCGTGGTAGGTACTCATTTATAAGTGGATTTTAGCGATAAAGTAAAGGATAACCATGCTACAAAACACAGACCACCCAAAGCAGCTAAGTAACAAGGAGGTTTCAAGGGGGTAGGGAGGAACACGTGAATCTCACTGTGAAGGGAAAATAGAATAGATATCACAGGTGGATGGGGAAGGGGTCTGGATGGGAGGATATGGGAACAGAAGGGATCAGGTATCAGGAGGATGGACAGAGAGAGTACTGGAAAAGACAACTGGAGTCAGAGGCATCTTCTGGGATGAAGGAGAAACCTAGTGTATTAGAAACTCCCAGGAATCTATGATGGTAACCCTAACTAAGAATACTAGCAATGGGGGATACAGAGCCTAAACAAGCCATCTCCTGGGACCAGGCAAGACTTCAAGTAGAGGAACTGGGACACCAACCCGGCCACATAACCTTTGACCTACAATTTGCCCTGCCTACAAGATGTGTTGGGGTAAAGATGGCACAGAAACTGTAGGAGTGGCCAACCAATGACTGTTCCAGTTAAAACCCATGCTGTGAGTCACACCCCTCACTCTACCTGGAGAGCCTAGACTCAGAGGCTGGATAGAGAGACCTAGGATAGAACCAAACATGACTGGCAAAAAAAAGATGCCTATACCATGAGAGGGATCCCATGCCAGACCTTGCCTGGATGGTCAGGATCTAGAAGCTGGATGTCTCCGAGACCTAGGGTAGAACCAAGCACAACTGAAAAAAAAAAAAAAAAAAGTAAGTGAAATGATTTCTAGTGATCTCTGCTATACTAGCCCAGTTGTCATCGATAGAAACAGATGCAGAGACCCACAGTAAAACATTAGGATCTTGGGGAATCTTGTGGAAGAGGTGGAGGAAGAATTATGGGAACCAGAGGGGTTAAGGATGCCACAAGAAAATCCATAGAATCATCATATTGAGTGAGGTAACCCAGACCCAGAAAGACAAATATCATATGTACTCACTCATAAGTGGCTTTTAGACATAAAGCAAAGAAAAAAACCAGCCTACAATTCACAATCCCAGAAAACCTAGACAACAAAAAGGACTCTAAGAGAAACATACATGTTTTGGAAGTAGAAAAAGGCAAGATCTCCTGAGTAAATTGTGAGCGTGGGGACCATGGAAGAGGGTAGAAGGAGGGGAAGGGAAGGGAGTAGAGAAAAATATATAGCTCAATAAAAACAATAAAAAAGGAAAAAAATGTTTCATCAAGTACATCTTGAAAAAAAGAAAAAGAGAATCCACAGAATCAATTAACCTGGGCTCTTAGGGGCTCTCAGAGATTGAACTGTCAACCAGAAAGCCTGCATGGGACTAACCTAGGCCCTCTGCACATACCTTACAGTTGTATAACTTGGTCTTTTTGTGGGCCTCCTAAAAGTGGGAGCAGGGGCTGTCTCTACTCTTTTACCTGCTTTGAGGAACCTTTCCTCCTACTGAGTTGACTCGTTCAGCCACAGTAGAAGAGGAGTGCCTACTTTTACCATAACTTGATCTGCCATGGCTGACTGATATAAATGGGAGGCCTGCCTTTTTCTGAAGAGAACAGAGGAGTGGATAGGGGAGGTAGGTGAGAAATTGAAAGGAGAGGAGGGAAAGAGGGAAAACTGATCAGTCTGGGAAAATTTAAATAATTAAAAAAGAGTTCCTGCAAAGATTAAGGCATTAAGAGAATTGGAAGATACTGTTTCAACACATGGATGCCTCAAGCTATCATTAAACCATATTTGACAAGAACTGGTAAATGAGAAAAGCCTTTAGCTGGATCACAAAGGCTGAGACTCACCTGAGAGGAGGAATGTGCCACTATCCTTGCCAACTAACTCCCACTGGAGGTTTCGAAATGCCTGCCTTTTGGAACGCTCTGAGACTGGGGGTTTGTAGGGCACATGCAGGATGAAGTTGAGAAGGCGTAGCTGGCGCCCCTCCCAGTACTGCTGCATCTGCTGAAGGCTTTCTTGGGCATGAATTCGTTCCTTATCATACTGCCAGACCTGGAAAAGGTATGTCTCAGAAACCAGAACTAGCTAGTGACTAAAGAAAGTCAGTCTTGAAATTGGGACTTGAAGACTGGGTCTGAGGCAGAACTCAAGGGCCTGGAGTGTGGCGGTCTCAGCTGTGAAGGAGGAGTGAAACTGCTGGCCTTCAGCCATGTGCCACTATCGCTTGGCCCAGTCCCGCTGCCTCCACTGGGCAGGCAACACCCAGAGTCAACCTGTGCCCTTTAGTGATCAAGGAAATGTTGACAGTCCATCTATGTGTCCACAGCTTTGAGGCCACCATTCACTTCCTTCCATCAGGGGAAGCATTAAGAGTCTGGAAGTCTGTAGATGGCTGGAGACTCTTCCTACCCTCCAGGAAGGTCATTACTCCCAACTTCCCTCTCACCTACGTGCTAACCAATGCCGTCCGCATAGCCCCATAGCCTCATAACCCAAGGGACTTGTAGGCCTTGACTGACTTCATTACAATACATGGCTCCAATCAGTTCCCTCATCCTTGTGGGTCCCACCTGATTGATTCTGTCTGCGAATTCCAGCAGTGGACAGTTGAGCAGCTGGCCCAGTGTGATAAGGTCGAAGCTCTGCAGACTGCCCAGCCCTAACACTGGAATAGAACAGGCAAGTCAGAGCAGGTCCTAGCACATGGCTGAGCAGAGCCCACATCCTAGTGCTCATTTCTCCCCTGAGCCCAGACCAGCTTGGACTGCAGTGCAATATCAGGAGTACAACACAAAGCCAAGAACTCAGAACCCAAGGTCCAGGCACAACTCAACCCCCAGATCTCAGACCCCAACCTGCATCCAATCCCATCAGTTGAGAGGACCCTGTGTTGTAAGGAGGGAGCACAGGAATGTGTTCCTCCTGGTGAAATGAGTTTAGCATAAGTGGGAAAGAGTTGCTCTAAACACTGTATGTTTCCCATCCATCTCCCAAACACACCTCTCAAGAGGGATTGGCAGTGAAAGTTCTGAAGCTGGAGGCTGCCCAGCTTGGTGAGCAAGGGCAGGTAGTTTCGAAAGTCCTCTAGCATGCGCATGCAGCGTTGTAGCACTGGACTGTGCAGCCCCAGAGTGGTGCTGAGCCGTGCAGCCTCTGTCAGCCAGGCATCTGTCTTCTCCCTGGCCATAGAAAGACTGAACTGCACAGAGCAGAGTTCACTGTCAGACTGACACCCACCCACCACCACCTGGCCAACTTCTGCCCCAGGTGAGAGCTCCTGGAAGTACCTTGGTAAAAGCCATGCACTTCCACTCACTGAAGTTTTCAGAGATGATTCGGTAGAGTCTCCAGATACGCTGCTGCTGTATAATAGGCCGGTTCCCAGAAGTAGGTGGGGACATAGTACACTCATCCCCTGTGGAATAAGGCTGGCTGAGACTTCAGTTATTGGGGAAATGGGTCAGTGAAGAGCCCTTAATGAACAAAAGTCAAGGGGAAAAAAAGTGTGCCGCCTATGTAAATCTGAGTTCAACAGTGGAAGTGGTGTCGTCCAAAGAGCAATTATTTCAAAGAAAGGATTCCTGGGCAAACACCATAGTGGTAAAACAAAAGAGTTTCCCTTCTATTAGTCTCTAGCTCACCCACTCAATTCCAGTCACAGCTTGATTGTAGCTCAGATATACAGGCACACACTCTTCTGCTAGGGCCTTAGACCTGCAGCTCCTTCCTTATAGAAAACTCTTGCCACAGAGAACCACCGTTCACATTTTCACCACCTCCAACTCCGAGCCCTTGTTCAAATACCCATCTCATAAGACACTGCTGTCCACTCACTTGGCATTTTCAGACACTCTTGATCTGCTATGCTTTCTTCTAGATTAGCTATCACTTTCTAATATGCTGCATAATTTAGTTATAATTTATAATTATTATTGATCATCTTCCTTCTGCAGCTGCAATATAGGGTCCATTATGGAAATTGTTTAGTCATTTGTTCATTGATGCACTTTGAGTTCGGTACATGGCAGGCACTAACCAAACAAGTGTTGGATGAATGAATAAGCGAATGAACTCTCAGAAATCAAGGATAACTTTTTAAATCAAGAGGGTCTAAAGGACTAGATTATTTTTTACAAAAGCTGGGATTAGGTGAAGAGCTGAGAACAGAAGAAGGAAGTGAACACACTGTTGTCCTGTTCTCTGGGCCTAGTACCACTTGGCCTGACTCCTCTACCCTGCTTTTTTATTAATACTTCAAACTCCTAACAGGAAGGGTCAAGTCTATGGTTAACATCAGTTAGGATGTGGGCTGAAGGCTTCCCAGTACTTAAAAAAAAGAGAGAAATTCCTAATGAAGGATGGTTCTAAAGCATCTCCCATTTCACCTGGCCATAAGGCCCAGTCGGTAGCTGACCAAGGATCAAATCACAATGTGCCCTTCCAAGAGCTAAGTGATTGCATATGAGAAAAGAGCCCATGCTGAACTCCTGTAGAAGAAGACTGATCTCACACAAGTAGCTCTGTTCTGATTGGCTTCTGTGGGAAGTGAGGCCCCCTTCAGTCTTTTTTCTAGATCCATTGGCTGGATGCAGTAGTTACCACACCAAGATCCTGACTATTCTTTTCTGTGATCTGCTGCTTGGACTGGGACAACACTGAACAATGCTAAGTATACACTTTCTCACAAACCAGCATTTAACCTGGCCCATCACAATCTAATGAAACATTTAGTTGTTTGTTTTCCCTACCAGCCTATGAGCTTCCTAGATCCACTAACACAACACCCGAGACATACAACAAATAAGGCTTTGGTCCTGCAATGCTTGTTTGTAAAAGAGACCAGTGAGGTATTGATTCCCAAGGCTTGCTTAAGATCACAGAAGACACAGGACCTGGAGTTCCATCCCTTATCTTAGCTGGAGGGTTCATCCTAGGGCGAAAGACAAGAAGGTGAAGATCAGTACCCGTGAAGGTGTTGTAAGCATAGCGTAGGTCATTGAAGTTGTTGAGTGTGTTCAAGAACTGGTGCTCCAAGGCAGCAAGCTGTTGCTCAGTGCTCCTCTGTTCTTGTGAAGGGTCCATGAAGGAACCAGACAGTGCTTTTGCCAACAGGTCCTCCAACTCTGTCAATGCTGCTGCCATCAACTGCTGCAGCTTGGGCACAATGGAATGTCGCTTACTGAGCAGGAACTCGGAAGCCTGGCTTCTCTCAAACTGAAAAGTCTCCCATATATCCAGAAGCTGTGGGGCAAACAAAGGACAGTGAGATATGTTTATAGAGGAGGAAGGCTAGGAGTAATGAATGATTCCTTTCATTGTTCTCTCACCGAGATGTCTAGCGTCTCATTCTCAGCCATAAAACGGCCACAGTGGTTGCGGATGAGGTCATGGAGTGATCGGACATATTCCACTCGTTCCTCCAGCTGTCCATATTGCTCATTGGCTTCATTCAACTGCAGAGGTTATAGCATGAGACCAGCACACCAACAACCCTGCCCATCTCTTCGAACTCACCCTCAAGAGGCAACCCATCTTCCAGATTGGGCATCTGGAAGGTCCAGACCCAGTTTTGGCATTGAAACCATTTGAGATAGGAGAGTTATCTAGGATCTGATTCCCTTTTGACTTGGGTCTTAAATGCAGTCTAGTTCTTATCTCCCAGACCTGATGACAGGGCAACATATCTCTAAATTACTTACTGTTCCAAGGAACAGAACCACGCCTCATAAAGCAGTGGTTCTCAACCTTCCTAATGCTGTGACTCTTTAGTATAGTTTCTCATGCTGTGGTGACCCCCAAACATAAAGTTATTTCATTGCTACTTAGTAACTGTAATTTTGCTACTGTTATGAACCACAATATAAATATTTGTGTTTTCTAGTGATCTTAGGCAGCCCCTGTGAAAGAGTTGTTGGGTGTACAAAGGGGACTGGCCCCACAGGTTGAGAACACTGTCTTAAAGCAAGACTCTATCTCATTTCTTCAGGGTCTGCTCCTGGCATGAGGAAGCAGAGCACTGCACAAACAGGGCAAGAATCAGCAAGGACAAATGACATATGTAAGCACAGTTCAAGCTCATCAAACCCCAGAAAGCTCAACAGAAATCTAAAGAGATTTGCTGTGTGCTGAGTCCTTGAGCAGGCAGGATATAGGGCTATTTGAAGAAGAAGGGATGAGGAGACCTCACCTTTTGGGAGCATTGAGCAATGGCATGGATGTCTGAGTTGATGGTTTGGAAGGCCTGCAAGAAATGTGTCATCTCTGTCATCAGTTGCCCATTACGGCTCCAGCATTCACTTTGCACTTGCGCAAGAATGTTCTTCCTCATGCTGCTTAACTTGGATTCTAGGTACAAAAAAAATGGGGTGTCTGGTGATGCATGGAAAATAAGTACAAGAATTGATATAGAAAAGTGAGTGGGTTCCAGAGAACTTAGACACAATGAGAACACTATGAGAGACTTACATAGATCTCTAATCTACATGGAAAGTAAAAAGTAGAAAAAGACAAGATCTCCTGAGTAAATTGGGAGCATGGGGACCTTGGGGGAGGGTTGGAAGGAGGAGGGGAGAGGCAAGAAGGGGAGCAGAAAAAAATGTAGAGCTCAATAATAATCAATTTTAAAAAGGGCAAAAAAAAAAAAAAAGAAAAGTGAATGGGCAAGCAGGAAGTTTCCTCATAATGTGACAATAGAGGTAAACAAATGAGCAGAAAGGGACAATCACAAGGGATTCTACAGTGTTGCCTAGAGCCCCCAGCCCAGCATAGTGAAGGGAAGGGAAGGGGACCCTGAGAAGGCTTGAGGAGGTCTCCGCAGAGGCAGATATTGAAATGAATGTCTGAGTAGTTTAACACTCCGAGCATGAACATGGAAATGCACATTCTTGTCTATGTTTTGGAGTCTTTCTTCTTGCAGAAGGGATACCAAGAAGAGGGTTAAAGCTGCATCTTTCTGTTTTTGTTTATTTGTTTTATCCTTTTGGGTTCTTGTTTGCTTGTTTGTTTTAATGTAGTACATGCCACCAAGCCCAACTTGTCTTTTGTTTTTGCAGATTAAAGAAAGAAAACTCAGGTAGATAAGGTTAGAAGACAATCTGCCCTTGGTAATATGAAAAACTTTATTGTCTGGGGAAGCAGGAATAAGGGAGCTATAAACTTGTCTCCGATGGGGAAAGGTTCTTGTCAAGAAGCCTGAGTTAGGTGGAAGAGAGAACTGACTCTTTAGAATGTTCTCTGACTTACACACCCACACATTCATGTTTGTACATACATGCACCATGATATGGGAATACATACACACAGTATATGAATGTAATTTTTGTTTTTTATTACTTTTAGTTGTGTATATTATGTGTGGGGGGAGTGGTATGTGTATGGGAGTGCAGGTGTCAGGGAAGCCAGATATATTTGATTTCTTGGAGCTATACCCGAGAGGGAGGCTGGGAGCCAATTCAGATTCTCTGGAACAACAATAACACACTCATAACCACTGAGACAGCTCTCTAGTCCCAAGTGTAATTTTATAAAAGAATGCAGGAATAATGTCCATATGATACAATTCACTGACTCTAAAGATGGTTATAAAAGCGATCATTATTTTATATACTACCAAAGAAGGAAAAAATTAACTCGGACATGCTATAATGCTGTTAAGACACTTCTTAAGTTTAGATATGCTAAAATAGCCATGAGATATCAAAATGTCATATAAAAGTATGGAATACCAGAAAATCCAGTACTGAGTACTTATATGCCAGACATTATTTCAAGTATTTCATATGTATTAACTTATTTTATCCTTATTGATTCCCTTGGAGTACGTATTATTATACACTTATGTTATAAATAAGCAGAGGCTCAGAGAGGTTAATTGTATAGGTCCACATTACACAATGGTAGAAAAATGAGTCATACTTAGAGAACTTTGTTTTACTCCATTATACTTCAGGTTCAAATGTAATATAAAGTTAGGCAAGTATACAGGTAGTCTGTGATATACACATATATCAAGTGGAATAGTATAATTATACTTTATTTTATACTACATAATGTTATGTAAAAGTAAACATACCTGCCCCCTATTAGCATCTATGCAACTGGTAGGTAGAACAGTGAGTTTGGAGGCAAACAGTTGAGATCCACTGCGTATGGCACTTTCAGAGACTCGAAAAGAGTATTCAGAGAATTAGGCACCAAGAGATGAAGCTGATAAAACTTACTAAGAAGGAACTTTTGTAGGGCACCGATGCTGAACAGAGCCTTTCTGTTGTTGCTAGGGCACTGGACTGGGCTGCTTTGGGACCAGGAGGGCTGGGCAGGAGAGCAACAGTGACACCACATGGCGGGAAGGAGCAGTGATAAATGAAGTTTTCGGGCTCCTTGGGCCCATGAGCTGGATGGAGATGGACTGAGAAACTGTTTTGAGAGACAGTAAAAGGGAGAAGAAAGGAGAAGACTTGGTAATGGGTTGGGTGTGGTATATTTAATACCCTTCTCTGTTCAAGGGAGTTTGGGGGAAAAAAGGAACAGAGGTAGCAAATAAGGCAACAAAATATGACCAGCAAGCAGACAAAGAGAATAAGAGAAAATGAGAAACATCAATACCTATGTTGGTCATTTCTAGAAGTAATTAAAAAATAAAGCAAAAAAACAAAACTTGTTTTCCTTCCTATAACCCTGAGTGACACCTTTAGTAATCTAGGCTATGTATAAACTGGAGCTGTGCGTCTCACATCATAACGCAAGCAAGAAACAGAGCAAGCTAGGACACGAGCTCTGAACTGAAGAGCCGTGGATCCTGGACTAGGGATCATGAATTTTACAAACTAGAAAGAGAACAGACTCCTGGGGCACAGCCAGGGAAAGGCCTGCCTAAAACAAAGCCACAAAGAAAGTGAACTAATCACAGTATCTTGTTCCTACCTTGCTAGAACGAACCCCTGCCCAAGAGTTAGTTGGAAGCATCAGAGGCAGAAACCCAATGAGGAGCAAAAGCCAGAGGGCTAGGCAGGCGGGATGCTTTCAAGCAAAATGTCTCTAGGTCCCAGAGTCAAGGCTCTTACCTTCATAAAGAAAGGAGGCGTGTGTGTGTGTGTGTGTGTGTGTGTGTGTGTGTGTGTGATAAGTCCAATATTTAATCTTAGCAATAAATGCTATGGCTGGGACTGTGTGAGAATCAAAACAACTTGCATTTCTCCTAAGAAAACAAACTACTGGCTTCCTAATCCATCCCCTCATAACCCTCTCTAAGACCAGCTCATAGTACAGGCAGGCACTCAGCTAGTACATGATAGCATGAGCCATCATCCTTCCCACAGGAAGGAAGAGAGAAGGAAGGTGATATGACAAAAAAGAGATAGTAAACCAATAATTTCCCTTGACAAGAAATGACAAGAGGGCCAGGCAGTGGTGACACATGCCTTTAATCCCAGCACTGGGGAGACAGAGGCAGGTGGATCTCTGTGAGTTTGAGGCCCACCTGGTCTAGAGAGCAAGTTCCAGGACAGCCAGGGCTATACAGAAAAGCCCTGTTTTGGAAAATAAAAAGTGACAAGAGGAAGAAAATAAAATGGACTGAAGAGAAAATGAAATAGTATTCTCTTATGTTCCACTTTTCATATGGAGCTGTGGGAAGAGGCCTTCTTAAATAGTTCCATGCTGAACATGAATAGTCACTGCATAGTGAGAATTGTAGTGTGCTGTGTTGTGGCAGAAAGAAACTGAATCCAACATTTATAAATGTCCCTGGTCCCAATGGCAGGAGATACCAAAGATAGCCGAACATTGATCCCACTGGGCCCAGATGCAGTTTCTGTTTTGGAAGTAAGGGATCCCAAGGTAAATAACAGTAGTCAACCTAAAACAAGTAGTAAGCTTAAGAGATAAGAAGAGGAACTCGGTAGGTGGCACACGCCTTTAATCCCTCCACTCAGGAGGCAGAGGCAGTCAGATCTCTGTGAGTTCAAGGCCAGCCTGGTCTACAAGAGCTAGTTCCAGGACAGGCTCCAAAGCTACAGAGAAACCTTGTCTCAAAAAACCAAAAAGAAGAGGAGGAGGAGGGAGAGGAGGAAGAGGAGGAAGAGGAGGAAGAGAAGAAGAAGAAGAAGAAGAAGAAGAAGAAGAAGAAGAAGAAGAAGAAGAAGAAGAAGAAGAAGAAGAAGAAGAAGAAGAAGAAGAACTCATTAAACCCCCCAAATAACTGACCTGGAACACGCGGCAAGAATCCAGTTACCCTACCCCCCATTCCTTACCATATATAAACTGTAACCCGTCCCTAATAAACGGAGGCTTTGACAAATCTGCTTGGCCTCCTTCTTCTGTCTTAGCTCATTCCCTTCCGGGTAGCGCCCCTCCGAGACCCTGGAGTAACTTGATTGCAGGGTGGGTTACAAACCCCTAGACTGAGTAACCCTGGACCCAAACGCAATCCACAACTGTCCACAGAGTTAGGACTACAAAGTGAGGCAAGAACAAAGAGTAACTTTTCATACATGCAAATAGTGGTAGAAATGTTAGCACCACTACATCCAAGAAAGGTGCACTCTAGATCCCCAAAAATCTGTATGAAGAAAACCAGGTACAGGCTAAGGGTCTTTTAAAAACAGGGATAGAAAAGTTTTCATCAATCAAATGATTCCTAAATGAATACAGGGAATGAATGAAGCCAAACAGAAGCTGACCTCTTGGACCATATCTTTGATAGCAAAGAGAAAGGGTTGTGAGCTAGAGCTTTGGAAGGCTCCAAAGGTCCCTGGAGGATATGCTAGTCCCAAGATGACTGTACGTGTAGGTAAGGAAGGAAGGAAGATGTAGGGAAGATAAGAAGCACTTACCCAACTCTGCTTGAACATCATGGCCACTCAGGAGCAGCAACTTGCCTTTTGTCAGCAACTGGACAGGCATATTGGAGACACGTTCCTGCCAATCTTTCAGCTGGCTGACTAGTACTACATAGTCCTTAATGGGGGAGCCTCTCAGGTTCTCTAACTTCTGAGGATCCCAAGCTTTCAGGAACTGATAGATGCCTTCCGCCCACTGCTGTTCACTGCAGAATTCCTGAACCTCCTGCAGCATGTCCTAAGGGTAGATACGGTGTGTAAGGCAGAGGCAGTGGCTATGATGGAAGCTGGCAGCCAGCAGCCCATTTCTCAAGCCTCTGTTCTCACCTCCAGCAGTGCCTGTTGTACAGCCAGTGCCTGTTGGATTCTAGTATTGTTGTCCAAGTCCTCCTGTACATGATTATAATTGGTATGTAGATACTGACCCCGAAGTCGGTGCCCACGGACCTCCAGGACATCAGTAATTGCATGAGACTTCCAGGGCCACACAAATCCTACATTTGGGCCACAGAAGAGGTGAACAGCATCGCTGGGCTTTCCATGAAACTTGGGCATCAGGAATTCTGCATTTGAGTCCTGGTCTTTATCATCTAGTGGAGCACACAATATAATAGTTTATAAGCACTCTCCAGAAGACCACACCAACCTTCTTTCTCTCCTAAATGCACACACTCATCACACACCATGCTGCTATTTCCTGCTATTGAGTGAGTCTATACATACATCATCAACATTAACCAACACAGTACAGCAAATCCATGTAAGGAGTGGATCAGCAAGAATGCACATGCTAAGAATAGAATTTGTTAAAAAAAAAAAAGAATAGAATTTGTTTAGTGTAAGCAGGAAAGGAAATTATTGCAACTTATCAAGTGGGTTTCAGAGTAATTAGATCTGAAAAGTGAAAATGCTGTAGGCTGAATAGAGTCTGGCTGACTGGCAAGTTGGGGTGTCATTACCACATCACCAACATCTGCAGAGTGGATATATAACCTGCCTTTTCTCCAACTTAATTCTGAATTGAATGCTCAGATGGATTTAATTGGTGGGCTCTGCATCACCTGTGCTGTCTAGCTGCAAGGGGACAGGAAAGTACACTGCAGAGCATCTTAGCCTCTACAGAACAGATGCGTGATTGAATATGCCAGTTCCCAATATCCACCCAAGGAATTATCCTTAGACCTGGCTTCTCCCTATAACATTTTAGGAACTGGTTAATTGCCAGTGCCAGTATTTTTGGTAAAAAGAGATGCCAGCAGAAACAGCTGAGAGAGTTTACATCTCAAAACTACAAGCAGGAAGCAGAGGGCACACAGGAAGTACGGGAGATTTTCGAAGCCTTAAAGCCTGCTCCCGTGACACACCTCCTCCAACAAGACCGCATCTCCCATCCCTTACCAAATAGTTCTACCGACAGAGGAGCAAGTATTCAAGCCTATGAGCCTAAAGAAGCCACTCTCAGTCAACCACCACACTAATATACATGAGGTCCACCTTCAGATTATATCCAAATCTCCCCACACCTATCATCACTTTACCTCACCTTAGCCAAGTCACCATTGTCTTTCACTGCCGTTACAGAGGCAGGCAACCATAAGGAGAGCTTAGAAGTCTGGACTCTGCTTGGCCTAAACTACACACAGTCTCCATCCCAACAGCCTGGACTCTCCATCCTGCACTGAGTTGTAGTTGAAGTGTAGAATCCATTTCAAACACAAATAAGTTATTCCCCTCAGCAACCTCTTAGTATCTCCCCTTTTGTGGTTAGTTTCCATTCAAATATTTTGCAGAATTTATCTAGGAACCAGAGGCAAGGGGGAAGGGGCAATCCAGCATGAACCAGATTAGGATTCAAGCACAGTGTTCTGAGTGAACTTTTAGGGTAAATCCCCTATTTGCCATTTATGCCTATGCATAATCGGGCATGCTTATGCTTAGAGTCAGAGGCATCATGGGAAAAGGTACACATATCAAAGTTAGGCTTACATAATTCAAGCTTGCTGATTAAAACAAAGAATCGACCACACTCTACCACTTAGCAGCCCTCCTCATCTTCTTCTCAGACCTCACAACACTTGGCAGCCTAGCCCACGTGGCCCACTGCTCTGTCAGTGTGTCCTGTACTCTGTCTCTTTAAGTAAAACTTGCTGCTTTGCTATTTGTGTGTACTCTTTCAGTTCTTTCAATAAGATGCTAAGAGCCTGGAAACTCATGGTCCAGACAGCAACTCTTGGGCACATTACTGCAGTAATCTTCTAGTCTTTGCCTGCTTTGGCTCTTGCCTACAATACCTTATAGGCCGTTCTACGTAGTAGAACAGTAACAGTGTTGCCAGAAGGGATTCTGAAATGATGGTTGTAAAAACCATTTTGAAATAACCCCAAATCCTCACAGGAAAATGACAAAGCAATTAGAAACTCACCAATGTGCAATATTTGAACAACTAAGGAAAATGCACACACGTTCCAAAGTACCAGTGAGTGGCTAGCCCTAGCCTCAAGATACCAGTATTTATGGATATGTAAAACATCAATACTTTTTGTCACTTAATCTAAGCTTACTTTTTGAAAATATGTGCCTATCAAGTATGATTGATATGTATTTATCAATATAAAATACAGACTCCTTTTCCAGAACCCTTTTCTTTTTGTGAATGATCTCCTAAAATTAATTTCATTTTTCATTCATTTTCATGAAGACATATCAGTTGGATAGGAACATTAAAAGACATCTAATGTTTTTAATGCTTTTTTATGACAACATTAGTACCCTGAAAAGGGAATTTTCTTTCTGATGGTTAACAAAGTTGAGGATTAGGGCTGGAGAGATGGCTCAGTGGTTAAGAGCACTGTCGGCCCTTCCAGAGAACCCAAGTTCAATTTCTGGCACCCATAGGGCAGCTCACAACTGTCTGTAACTCCAGCTCCAGGAGATTTGATACTTTCATACATATAGGCAAAACACCAATGCACATAAAATAATAAGTAATAAATCATTTAAAAACTTTACTTTTTTTAAGTTGAAGATTAATATCTCAACATCTTAATGAATTGGCCTATCAGAAATAACAGGGCCACATGAAGATGCTGAGCAAGCAGAACTTGTCAAACAAGCACACATTAGTTTAACAATCAAATTCAACAGAAAACAAAATGCAATTATGATATTAGAGAAAACCCAGAATTTGGAGTGAACCGGGGAGCAGACACACCCACCACCACACACAATTACATAAGTGCATGAATAAGCAAGCACATGTACATAAGCACAGGAATTAGTGAGCACAACTCCCTCTGGACTCTCCTCCCTCCCTATAGACATGCACAGTACTCAGGTTAGAGCTGCCCCTGGCTGGTGCTGAGCCTCTTGTCCACTTCCATGCCATCTGCACTCTATGTGTGTCCCTCCCCTCTAAGCAGACTTCCTATCTCCTGTGTCTGCCACTTTAAATACCTTCAGAATTCAGGGGATCCATGGAGGTTCTCATGTCTGTAGACTGCACTACCTACATGTTAGGAGACAGAAAAGGAACAGAAAAAGAGAAACAATGAGAGTCTAAGCAGGCTGAGAAGTTTGGATTCAATAGAGGATAGAACTAGGAGTTCCAAGGGTGCGTCCCCTGCCCAATCCAAAAACCTTTAGGGCAGAGGTCTTGATAGCTTGCAAGCCCTTAGTAAGACTCTGGATGATAGTTTCAACACAAGGCATAGGAGACAACCGGCCATTGTCATCAAAGACCAGCTGTGATAAGAGAAAGGGGTTTTCTCTTGGGACCTGGAAAAAAAGGATCAGGAGAGGTTATAGGGCCAGATGAAAGGGCACCTCCCCTGCCCCCATGTAGTCTGGTCCCACCCTACCCACCACCTCACTTGCATGGTGTTGGCTATAAAGGAAGTTATTTCATCTTCTAAGATGGAAACAAGATTCTGACAAATCATGTAGTCAATCATGCGGGCAAACTTTCCCAGCTTCAGCAACCATGTTTCTGCCTGCTTCAGCTTCTTCTCCAGATGCCTGCACAACACCCTCTGAAGGTATATAGAGCCATGGCCTTTCCTGATCCTGTTCCAGTTTTGCACTCTTTCCTGCAGGCCCTGTTGCATTTGATATGTGTCTTCGTGAACCTTCCAGGGTAGAAAGGTGAAACTCATTGCAGAGAAGGACAGGAAAGAAAGCAGCTACCCACTGGTCCCTGCAAGCAACGAAGTCCTGGTTTTCTGAATCTAGAGCCTAGATTTGTATGTGGAAGGTTCCTTTTTAGTAGAGACTGCTCCATACCCTTTTAAATGACTTGAAAAGATGCAAACCAAGGACTTACATTCAGAGGACTTATGTGTTAATGTGATAAGCCAGGCCTACCTGTGGAAAGGCCACGGGATAAGGCAGCTGACCTTGGTGGTACATACCTGTAATCCCAACATTTGAAATATGTAGGCAAGAACACCAGGAGCTAAAGGTCAGCCTGAGTTATAATGAGACCATGCCTCAAAACAAACAAACAAACAAAACAAGCAAAATACCCAGGATGAACCTCGATTAGAAAAAGGCAGTGTCACAAGGCAATGAGCAGATAAAGATTGCATAATTAAAGTTAGTAATGATCACAGGATTTGGACTCTAACCATTAGGCCTGGGATGATGGATCCTGCTGAGAAACATAATTCTATTACAAGATATTTATGGGCACTGACATAGACTTGCAATTGAGAAATTGGTGTGGGGAGTTTCTATGGGTTCTTCTTGGATCTAGAAAGATTTTAAACTGACAGAGGCTGAAAGTTGTCAAGTTTCTGCATCTGTCCAGTTGAGGAATCTAAGAAAGACATAGGAAAGCTATGCTTGGCCAGATGAACCCAATGGTCCCTGATGCTTCCCTGTTCCTTGCTACGCTCCACTGAGCTTGTGATTAGAGCAGATTGATGTCTGCGCATTGTATTTCTATTCTCTAGGAACTCAAGTCTCCGTGTTCTGCAACTCAGTTGAGCCCTAAGAACGCATGTCCTCAATAATGGCAAATATGCTACGGCAATACCCTCTTTATAGCTGTCAGTTTAGTACAGTTTTTCTCAACCTTCCTAATGCTGCAACCCTTTAATACAGTTCCTCCAACCATAAATTATTTTTATTGCTACTTCATAACTGTAATTTTGCTACTGTTATAAATCATAATGTAAATATATGATACGCTGAATATCTGATACTCTGTAGAGTAGTTTCATTCTAAATATTTAGAGAAAGAATATAATGCCTTCCATTGAAGGGTCCCCTTGGGTGTTAATCAGCATAAAATTATATAAATGACAATAATAATTATGATTGAAAAATAATCAGTATACAGTTTGAAAATACCATCGCTAGGCACAATAACTTGGAATTTATACTTCTTTTATGTCTGCTAAATATAACTCAACATCCATTCTTAATTAAAAAAAAGCTTTAGCAAATGAGTAAGGGAGAGTCACAAAACATCCACAATTAACATCTTTTCTTTAACGTTTCAAAACTATATTGTCTTCATGATGCTGTATTTTAATGCATTTATAGATGGAATGCATTTATTCAGCACAAATTAAAAGTTTGGATTGAACAGCTCAGTGAGCGGCTGTGAGAATTACTGAGTTTGCATATCCCACCCCTACCTCTTGAAGGTGATCACTGGCCAGGAGATATTTCATTCTGTTCCATGCAGCAGCAGAGAAAACTGTTCTATGTGTTTAAAACTTGTCTTTTTGTTTCTTAAACAATGTTTAATTTCTTTAGAGCACTGACCTTAACATATGTAAGTCTCAGGGTTCAATCCTCAGAACCAGGAAAAGAAAAAGAAACTATTGCCTATCTCAAAACAACAAAAATCCTGCCCCATAGTCTAAAAGACTCTTTTTTTTCTTTTGCAATGATATCTTTTACCCATAGTGAATGGCACTGATTAGAACTGGTTAGAAAACAATGGCCTAGTGAAAAAATCTAATAAAATGTGTTCAAGACATCTAAGAGAAAGTCACGAACACAAAGCACGAAGAGATCCACATCCATGGTTAAGGAACTGATGACAGCTTGGTGGCACACACCTTTAATCCCAGCACTTGGGAGGCAGAGGCAGACAGATCTTCAGGTTCTTAGGGCCAGTCTGATTTACATATTTAATTCCTAAACAGCCAGGGTTACATAGAGAGACCATATGCTTAAAAAAAAAAAAAAAAAAGCAAGTGTAATATAGCCAGGGCAATCTTTAAGATAAAAAAAAAGTGTATGATTTGCAATACCAGATATAAAGCCTCATCAGAAAGCTGTAATAATGAAGTCAGTGTGACCCTGAAAAAATATGGGTAGGCTTATGAATGGTACAGATTTTTAGAGACAAACTCTTACAGATTTAAAAGGGTATCATTTAAGAAAACAGCATCAAGGTCTAGGGAGATAGAAAGTATCTGTCTCAAAAGCATGAGGAGTTGAGTTCAGAGCTCAGCACCCAAGTTAAGAAGTTGGAATGTAAGCTGGGAAGTGGTGGGGTATGCCTTTAATCCCAGCACTAGGCCACCATGGTCTACAGAGTGAGTTCCAGTACAGCCAGGGCTACACAAAGAAACCCTGTCTCGAAAAAGAAGATGAAGTTGGAATGGAACTCTAGTGTGTGGGCTAGTGATAGGTAGATCCTTGAAGCTTACTGATAAGCAAATCTATGCAGCTGGTAAGTGTCAGGTTCAGTGAGAGACCATGTCTCAAAAACAGAGAAAGTATAGAATGTGATTGAGGACCACAGCTGGCATCTACCTTTGGCCTACACATACATCCATATAAACATAAAAACAAATGTATACCCTACACACACATACACCGGAAAAAAGTAAACAGAGGGAGAGAGAGAAAGAAAGAAGGAAAGATCAATTGTAAATGAATATTCACTTTTGTGCCCACATTCGAAAAATCACACAGAAACTATATTAATTACAATATTGTTTGGCCAATAGCTCAATCATATTCCAAGCTAGCTCTTACATCTTAAATTAACCCATGTGTATGAACCTATGTATCGCCATGAGGCTGTGGCTTACTGGTAATGTTCTGGCATCTTTCTTCTTCAGTGGCTACATGGCATTTCCTCAGCTACTCTCTCTGTCTCTGTTCAGATTTCCAACCTGGCTTTACTCTGCTAAGCCACTGACCGAAATAGCTTTATTTATCAACCAATAAAAACAACACATATACAGAAGGACATCCCACATCAATCAATAATATTAAATGGAGAAAAGAGGTTTTTGAGGGATTTTTTTTTTTTGAGACAGGAGCATTCTGTGTAGCCCTGGCTATCCTGGAACTTGCTCTGTAGACCAGAATGGCCTTGAACTCACAGAGATCCACCTGCCTCTGCCTCCCAAGTGCTGGGAATAAAAGCATGCACCACCACTGCCCGACTGAAAAGAGATTAATTCAAAGGAAAATTAATTTTGACTCTTACCTCACCTCACATATAAAAAAAATTGAAACAGACTATAAACCTAACTCTAAAGATGAAGTAATAAACTACTGTAGAAAAACATAAGACATTATTGTGTGACTCGGAATAAGTGCAGATATTTTAAACAAGGACTCAAAAGACTTGATTGTTGTGGAATATTACTTTAGGCAAAGTAATATTTAGATGTTTGTTTCTGCTGCCTTTGTTAAAGATGTAAAGATGTGTTACATTTGTTTTACCTTGTCTGCCTAAGGCACCTGGTTAGTCTAATACAAGCTAATAGCACGGCAGGAGAATAGGTGGGAATGGCAGGCAGAGAGAACAAATGGGAGAAATCGAGGCTTGAGAGAAAAAAAGAGAAGGAACAAAGAGAACAAGAGAGAAAGAGGGACACACCTGGAGCCAGAAGCCAGGCAGCCACTAGCCAGTCATGGAGACAGCAGGAAAGTAAGATATACAGGGGGGGGAGGGGAGAAAGCCCTGAGGTAAAATGTAGATGAGATGAAGAGAAACAGACTGAACTATAAGGGCTAGCAAGAAATAAGGCTGAGCATTCATAATGCTCCCCACGTCATGATCTGGGCGCTGGATGGTGACCCAAAAGAGGAAGCCTGCTACACTTGATAAGAAAACTTTAAGAAGAGTAAAATCAAGGGCTGGAGAGAAGGCTCAGCAGTCAAGAGATGGCTGCTCTTCCAAAGAACCAGGATTCAATTCTCAGCACCTAAATGATGGTTCACAACCAACTGTAACTCCAGCTCCAAGGAATCCTATGTCCACTTCTGGCCTCTGTGCACATCTGGCACACATATTATGCACAGACACACATGCAAGAAAAACTCACACACATGTAAAAAATTTCAAAATTAAAATTTTTGTTTACCAAAAGACACAATTAAAACAGTAAAAAGGTAAGCTACAAGCTTGTCATACAATTGATATAGGATTTACATTTACAATATCTAACAAACTCTGTGGGAGTAGAACATTACTCTCACACATACCAGCAAACACAGCACTTCTGAATCTGCTACAGATATGTAGCAGTTTTCTCATATGCACCAAACACTTCTTCAGCAAAGTCCAAGTGTATATCCCATACTTAACTCTGACACTATCTGGAAACAGCTTTGGGTCCCTTTTCAGATGACAATCACAATGGATTGTCCTCGTCCAATTGTGTTGCTATAACAAGTTACTTGGAACTAAATAAGTTATAAAGAACAGAAATTTATTTTCTCACAGTTGTGGAGGCCGAGAAGAGGCTTCTTTCCACATCCTCCAGTGAGAGGAAAAGCGTGAAGAGGGGGAGGGGGCAGCGGTAGAGCCCTCAAGGTTCTATCACCTTCCAAAGGTTCCACCTCCTATCACTGCCACAATGCCACCTGGTTTAAACACCAAACAAAAGCATAAAAACAGGTGACAGGCAAGAGGCAAGAACCTGACAAGACACCTAGAGTACTCGATGGGGATATGGATCTCAGATACAAAGCAGTCATAATTAGGATAGATTCCATTAGTGTATTCTTCTACTAGCCACAGAGGCCTGCCACAGGTTCAAAGATAATCCCAGATGCAAGAAAGGTAAGAATTCTAGTTCTTAATTTCCTGAATGCCCAATTGCTTCCTGTTAGCACAAACACCTGATAAAACAGACCTTTCTTTCCCCCCTGCTCCTAGGCCAGGAAAAACCCTTAGGGAACATTAGGATCCCAATCTTTGCTCAATTTTTGTTGATCCATCTGTCCTGGAATAGAAACTATAGTTGCTGAGCAGAAAACTGTGTCTAATCCAACAGCAGGATCCAAGTCACACAGGGGTCCCAGGTAATCAAAAGAAGGCTGGAACTCTGAACAGCTCTGGTTGGAGAAAAGGCTCACAATAAAGTAAAGCCTCTTACCAGCTGAAGGATGGATGTGCAGAGATTCAGAAAGCGACCGAACACTCTCAGAGCCCTGTGATTCTCTTTGGCTATTGTCTTCTGCAGGTCCAGAAGCTCATAGCTCTTATCTGGCTCCTTGGGTAGCCAGGACACAGAACGAAGCTCCTGAAGAAGCCTAGAATCAATAAATAAATTAGCTAGAGCTGGTATCCCAGCCATCCCTCTTTCAACACCTTTGAACTCTTCCCAACCCAGTTCAACCCAGACTGAGCAAATGTTTACATAGACTGTAATATTCCCAGTGACCAATGACAGTTGCCAGGTGGAAAATGATTTAGAAAAGCCTCATGGAATGAACAGATGCTCATACCTAGTGACCTTTATTCCAAGAGGGGCTCAGATAAATCCCAAGATATGAAAAAACAAGAGACTTCATCCTGGGAATAAGGAAAATAAGGTCCTAAAAAGTCAAGGTTGACAGGCACATGTTCGGATCAAAGGTGACTAAACCTCAGTTTCTCTAGAGCTGACTGCCACTGAAGAAGCTCCTCCTGTTCTCTGCCCTCCCTGCTTCCCCAGAACTCCATCCATAGCTCCGAAGATTCCTTGAAAAATATGAACAACCCCAATAAGTAGTAAGGATGAATACTTAATGATGAATTTATGGGTATCTATCCTGTATGTGCTACAGGGCACTGTCCATAATCTCATGTAATTCTTTTTTTTTAAAATATTTATTTATTTATTATATTATGTGAATAGCATTCCTTCCACGTGTGCCTGTAAGCCAGAAGGGGGCGCCAGGTCTCATTATAAATGGCTGCAAGCCACCATGTGGTTGCTGGGAATTGAACTCAGGACCTCTGGAAGAGCAGTCAGTGCTCTTAACCTCTGAGCCATCTCTCCAGCCCTCTCATGTAATTCTTGCTATTTGCACTGCGTAGTTCAAATCTATAGGAGTTTGCAGACCACTGATTTGAGGCTCAAAGAACAGACTCCTTGCTAGTTTTCAGGATCTAGATTCAGACCTAACAGTCCTCAAAACTCCAAATCCTTATAATTTATACCATCACCGGGTATGGGGACACATAACTGTAATCCTAACGATTGAAAGGGTTGAAGCAAGAAAATCAGAAGTTCAAAGCTAACATTAGCTTATGTAGCAAGTTAGAGGCAAGCCTGGGGTATATGAGACCCTGTCTCATAAAGCAACCAGAAAAACAAAACAGCTAAAAAATTTAAAAAAATATGCCGGGGGGGCTGGAGAGATGGCTCAGTGGTTAAGAGCATTGGCTGCTTTTCCGAAGGTCCTGAGTTCAATTCCCAGCAACTACATGGTGGCTCACAACCATCTGTAAAGAGGTCTGGCGCCCTCTTCTGGCCTTCAGGCATACAGACAGGATATTGTATATATAATAAATAAATATTAAAAAAAAGAAACCGCCTTTAATCCCAGCACTCAGGAGGCAGAGGCAGGCGGATCTATGTGAGTTTGAGGCCAGCCTGTTCTACAAGAGCTAGTTCCAGGACAGACTCTAAAGCTACACAGAGAAACACTGTCTATAAATAAATGAATAAATAAATAAAACCATTATGATGACTAGGCAAATCTAGAGGATGGTACCAGCCTAATTTAGAGGTTGCAAACTGGTATCCATTGTATCAAAGTTTCCACTGTGCATTGTTAAGAATTAACCCTCACAGTCTTTTAATTAAAATTTGAACCCAATAGCTAAAATTTTAAATTTTTGTAAAGCCAGCAAGATGGCATTTGCTGTTACCAAGCCTGATCATCTAACTTCAGGCTCCAAGTCCCACATGGTGGAAGGAAGGAAAGAACTGATTCCCTCAGTTATTCTCTGACCTACACACACACACACACACACACACACACACACACACACACACACACACACACACCAGAGAGAGAACACATGAACATGAGCACACACAAAATAACTAAAATACAGTATTTTTTCAATATTTAATTTTTTAAATTTAATTTTACCATGATACGTAGATCTCTAGGAAATGCTAAAACACAAGGTGAGCTAATCACAGTGGGCCTGTTCTCCAGAACGTGAGTTAGCTGGAGCTGAGAAGTGGCTGTCCTTTCAGAAGCAATCTTCAGGCTGCCATGCTGTGACCCCCAATGTCTCACTAATCACGGCCTTCTACAGTGTGTGCAGTGAGGCTCCCTGAGCCTTTGAGCCTGCAACTCCTAGCACAGAAGACACCTGACGCACCATGAAGGAAAGGCGAGCAAGGGATAAAAATAGGAATAACCAACTCTCAAAAAAGTGTAGCCTGGTAGGTAATGTATATAGGTTGTTAATGGACAATCATTAATAATAGTCAAGTTTGTAGTCATGTTAGTTAGATTTTCTAGATGTGCATGGATATATTTCAGATAGGCATTCTTCATATCTTTCAAAGGCTAGAGAATATGGCATTTTAAATGTTTTAATAACTTAGGGTTTTTCATGACAATGAGAAACTCTGCTCCTGGCAGCACCAATCTACTTCAGGAAGAAGATGGGCATCGAAGAGGATCCTTATGGAGATTGATAGCCATTTGGGCAAGAAACTGCTCTTGCCTGGACTGTTGCATAAACTGGACACAGAGAACCCTCAGAGAGAGGACTACTGAACTTGCCTAAAGGTGAGATGATCCTTCGGGGTTCCTGATTCATGAAAGAGTCTGCAAGACATTCTTCAGGACAAGCAGATAGTGACTGCCTTTGAAATTTCCTGCTTTGTGGAAATGTCTGCTGGAAACTATGGGCCTGTAGGCCGAAGATAGATGCCCCAATGGTACAGAGGAACTTTGGGTGACTGTCCAGGCAGCGAGATGTCTCTGTCATTTCTAGAGTTTGAAAGTTGTTTATTTCTTGTTTGCTTAGGTAATATTATATCTTTCTGGACTCTGATGGAGTTAAGAATAGTTAGCTATAGTTATAGTTTTCCTTAGTTATGATATTATTGTAATTTTTACTTGATAACTGTTTTGTTATATGTAATTTTGCTATGTTAAAGTTAAAGCCTTCCTTTTTTGTTTAAACAGAAAAAGGGGAAATGATGGAGGAAGGTCATTGGTTAATTAAATAAAGAAACTGCTTGCCCTGATAGGTTAAAACATAGGTGGGAGGAGTAAACAGAACAGGATGCTGGGAGGAAGAGGAAGTGAGCTCAGACTCGACAGCTCTGCTCTGGAGCAGAGACGCCATGCTCAGCTCTCCTGGGTAGACGCGATAGCTCTGCCCTCAGAGACACACACGATGAAGCTCCGACCCAGGATGGATGTAGGCTAGAATCTTCCCGGTAAGTGCACCTTGGGGTGCTTACACACATTATTAGAAATTGGCTAGTCCAGGTGCGAGAGTTAGCCTAGAAGAGGCTAGATAGAAATGGGCCAAGCAGTGCTTAAATGAATACAGTTTGTGTGTTGTTATTTCGGGGCATAAGCTAGCCAGGCAGCCGGGGTGCTAGGGACGCAGCCCCACTGCTCCTATTGCAACAGACATGGTATTTCCTTTTTCCAAATAATTTTTTGTAGTTATTGAAACAAAATGTTGAAGGTTAGAGATAGGGTTCAGTGGTAGAGCACTTGCCTAGTATGTTGGAGGCACTAGATTCAATCCCTAGCATTTCAACATACACATAAGCACACCAAAAACCAAAACCAAACCCAAATCAACAACAACAACAATAAAAACCAATAGGGTCTGTTAAGTAACATAGGTCAACCTCAAACTCTTGGTCATCTGCCTCAGCCTCTGAGAGGACTCCAGGTGTGCCCAGCATACCCAGTCCGCAGGGTCTGAGAGGACTCCAGGTGTGCCCCAGCATACCCAGTCCCCAGCCTCTGAGAGGACTCCAGGTGTGCCCAGCATACCCAGTCTCCAGCCTCTGAGAGGACTCCAGGTGTGCCCAGCATACCCAGTCCCCAGCCTCTGAGAGGACTCCAGGTGTGCCCCAGCATACCCAGTCCCCAGCCTCTGAGAGGACTCCAGGTGTGCCCAGCATACCCAGTCTCCAGCCTCTGAGAGGACTCCAGGTGTGCCCAGCATACCCAGTCCCCAGCCTCTGAGAGGACTCCAGGTGTGCCCCAGCATACCCAGTCCCCAGCCTCTGAGAGGACTCCAGGTGTGCCCAGCATACCCAGTCTCCAGCCTCTGAGAGGACTCCAGGTGTGCCCAGCATACCCAGTCCCCAGCCTCTGAGAGGACTCCAGGTGTGCCCCAGCATACCCAGTCCCCAGCCTCTGAGAGGACTCCAGGTGTGCCCAGCATACCCAGTCTCCAGCCTCTGAGAGGACTCCAGGTGTGCCCAGCATACCCAGTCCCCAGCCTCTGAGAGGACTCCAGGTGTGCCCCAGCATACCCAGTCCCCAGCCTCTGAGAGGACTCCAGGTGTGCCCAGCATACCCAGTCTCCAGCCTCTGAGAGGACTCCAGGTGTGCCCAGCATACCCAGTCCCCAGCCTCTGAGAGGACTCCAGGTGTGCCCCAGCATACCCAGTCCCCAGCCTCTGAGAGGACTCCAGGTGTGCCCAGCATACCCAGTCCCCAGCCTCTGAGAGGACTCCAGGTGGGCCCAGCATACCCAGTCTCCAGCCTCTGAGAGGACTCCAGGTGTGCCCCAGCATACCCAGTCCCCAGCCTCTGAGAGGACTCCAGGTGTGCCCAGCATACCCAGTCTCCAGCCTCTGAGAGGACTCCAGGTGTGCCCAGCATACCCAGTCCCCAGCCTCTGAGAGGACTCCAGGTGTGCCCAGCATACCCAGTCCCCCGTCTGAGAGGACTCCAGGTGTGCCCCAGCATACCCAGTCCGCAGGGTCTGAGAGGACTCCAGGTGTGCCCAGCATACCCAGTCCCCAGCCTCTGAGAGGACTCCAGGTGTGCCCAGCATACCCAGTCCCCAGCCTCTGAGAGGACTCCAGGTGTGCCCAGCATACCCAGTCCCCAGCCTGAGAGGACTCCAGGTGTGCCCCAGCATACCCAGTATGCAAAACTGAAAACTCCATGGCAGGTGTGTTTGTAGTACTTCACCTGCTAATATGGAGCAGCCCAGCTCCAAAGTGAGGAACAGCCAAGAGCAGATGACTCTTCAGGAAAGTCTGGATTCGGTGCAGTCCATGCAGCCTCACATTCTTCTTCCAGCTGCAGGTTAGAGGTGAGTGTCAATACGCTCCCATTATTCCCTCATCCATGTCTCCACCCAAACCCAACTCTGTCATTACCTACCAGGTCAAAGCCTTTTGTAAGAGGCAATTCCTAAAGAATGGGATGCGCTGGAGCTCGTGCCAGAGGGTGGAGTTGCGATGCCAGGTACCCAGTGTCATGGCTTCACTGCCCTCCACAGGATGCACATGCAGGATCCCAAAGGGAGAGAAGATGTAGTGTTCAGGATTCACCTGGTTCGGTGGCACCACTACCAGGTTGTAAGGCCTGTTTTAAAATGAAAACCATCTCTGATTAGTGAGAACCGAAGAACTTGTGCACATATCCTGAGGAGACCCAAGAAGGATGGGGAGAGAAAAAGGAGATAGGAAGGGAGGGAGGTAGAAAAAAAGTAGGAAAGGTGGGAAGACAGCAGAACAGTATTCAAACTAGAATGACTGAACAAATACTAAGAAATTTAAGCCAGAGATAGATGGTGAGAAAGAAAAAGGCATCTAGCCTGTTAGCCTGTTCCAAGTCCTTATCTTCAGATACAGAACATCTCATGAAATTTAGGACATTATTTGTGTAAGCTTCAGTATTCTTCTGTGAGAAGCTAAGATGAATAATTCTGCCATTGTAATACTTCTTCATATTTTAAGATACATTGCCATTTTGACGATGTTGAAGTGTGTATGGTGGGGAAGGGGTGTTTTAATAGTGGCTATCTGAGCCTATAAAGGGCGTGAGTGAGGGAAGGATGGAAAGAGGAACTTAGGGCAGGGGTGCAGCTCAGTGGTAGAGCACTCACCTAGCATTTGTGAGTTCCTGAGTTCCATTTAAGAACAGAAGAAAAAAGTGGTTCGAAAAGGAGAAAGTGAATGAATGCAGCTGGTATGGAATTGGGAGGGTCTCACCTTATTTACTTGTTTGTTAGTCTCGTTGGTTACAAAAGAGGCCAAGAGGTAAAAGAAGATTTTAGTTCAGTCTAAACACAGGGCAATTTTGGAAAACCAATGTTTCCCTAACATTGAGATCTCGACATGTGATTCTTGCACTGTAGTTAGATAAGGTCAGCATTAAATGTGCTCCTGAGGCTATAAATACATGCTTTCCTGTTTCAAAAGGAAGGAAGGAAGGAAGGAAGGAAGGAAGGAAGGAAGGAAGGAAGGAAGGAAGGAAGGAAGGAAGGCACAGTTCAGACGAGAGGATGGAGAGGGCAGAGGCGGCGGTGGGAACTGTGAGGCCCAAGAGTGGGTGAGCTGGAGAAAGATAGGAGTGGGGGTGGGGCTCTTACTTAAAGTACCGGTCAGGAGCCACATTGAGGTAGAGGAAGTGGATCTTCCTCTGGTACCAGTCTGTCTTCAGAAGGGATTTCACTTTACTTTTCAGTAAGGAAGTCTTAGAACTTTTCTTCTTGAAGGCCTTCTTCTCAGGAGATTCAGAGGCACGCTGAGACCTGAGTGACAAAATAAAACAGGGAGAAAAGCAGAACCAAAAGGTCAGTGCCTAGAGGGGAGCTTTGCCACCACTGGCCATGGAAAGCAGGAATTAGATCGAGTGCCCTGGGGCACACAGGTGGTACAGTCGGAGCCTGTCTAATCTACACACGCACCAGGCAAATGCAGTCAGCCCTTCACACATTTGCCAACTGTAGACAACTATAGCCAGCATGAAAAACTTCTCCTGATAAATGATCAGACTAGACTGACTGTGTTACTGCAGTAGTGTTATGTAACATTGTATACAGTACTAGGAAGACATTATTTTTCTAGCTCATTCCCCTATAAGCCCTCTGTCCTACTTATCAGCAGTAGGCTTTGATAGTGGACCAAATCATCTTAACTACTATATCTGTGATCAAAAGAAGATATCAAGTTCAAGACTTGCCTGGCTACAGCAAGTTCAAGACCAACAGATGCAACTTAGTAAACCACTATCTCAAAATAAAAAGTACGAATACAACTAAACTTTTGGCTCAGTGGTACAGCAGTTGCCTAGCACGCATGAAGACCCAGGTTGATCCCTAAGTCCTAGCATCAAAAAAATAAAAAATAAAAACATTATTTCCTTAGTAGTGAGGTTACATAATCACAAAATCAGAAGTACTGGCTCCAGTGTCCAGTCTGAATTCAGGGCTCATTTGTTTTGATGTCATAGACAAACAGCTACTGTCCCCAGCCCCTCCATCTAACTGGTTGGATGCTCAACCCTGCCTAGCTTCAGTCTCATCACATTCTTCTTTGCCTGCATAATCTGAGCTTCTCCCTTGGTTTCCTTTGCCTTCTCTCATACTGTCTCCCCAGTCTGAAGGAGAGTATGCCCTTTATTTTCTGCAGGGTCACTTTCTCGTGTGTTTGCTACATCCCTTTACTCTGCTGTATTACATATCCTCTTCTTACCATAGCTTGTTGATCCCATTAGTCTACAAATACTAATGGAGCACCTACTTCTCAGCTATTGTGTCTTAAAGGCTGTGAGCATCCTTCTGCATTAACAAGAGATCCATCCAGATGCCAGAATTACTTCAAACTCTGGCCTAAGTGTCTTTCTCTCTTTCAAGCCAATCTGGTGAATAGTAAAATGGCATTTCCACTTGTCTCCCATTCATTCCCAAGTTCATTATAACCTGGCTTCCTTACCACAAAGCCCTGGCTTGGTTTCACACCACCAACTGCTGCCTCACTAACACATTTCCACCTCTCTCTACCCAAATCCTTTACTCCTGCTGTATCTCTGCATGTCTTTCCCAGCCCCATCCCACCAAGAGCACAGGGACAATAACCAGCATCCTTTTGCTTTATACTCCTTACTACAATTTGTTAATCATATCTTACATGCCCTAACGTCTCTCTTACCAAACTGCAAGGCTCCAAAGGAAAGAACAGAGTCTGTCTGACTCATTTCTTCCATTCCCAACATCTAGATACATCCAAGTATCTAATAGTAATTAAATGAATCGGGGCCTTAGAAGACAGCTCTGGAGAACATTAGGTAGACCTCAGAGATTGACTGCCAGGTTCAGAGAGATATGAGAAGTTGATTCCTTCTTAATATATCAGCCTATGACCATTTCTGTTAAGATCTCGCAAGAGAGAAAAGTTAGACTTGGGGCCTCTCTGAAAAAGCAAAGCTCTGTCGGGATGATTAAAGACAAAAAGTGCTGGCATTTGCCACCTTCCTTCACAGCTCCAGGAACCTGCCCTCTTGTCCACCATTAGGGATCAGAGACTTCATGAAGAGTCATAAATTGATCCAGCCATAAATTTAAAAGCAAAATCTGAGGAAGTCATGCTTGATTAAAGGCAAAACTAGCTTTTTTTTTTCTTCCCCTAGACAATGACTGTATCATAGACAAGTTACAAAATATCAAGAAAATCAGACCAGAGCTAGTGAGAAGTTGCTGGACTAAAGTCAAAGAGATGACTCAGAGGCAGCATTCTGTCTTAGACCTGAAATACTTCATATAGACCTGTGGGAGGAGACCAGGCTGACGAGCACTCCCTAGGAGTAACCAAGAACCCTATCCATACCAAGCACCCAGGACCACACAAGATAAGCCCCAAACTGTGGTTCAGTGGTTATAAATGACAGAGAAAATGAACCCCCAAGGAAGCTTCTGACTGGAAACTGCAAGGTTAAGCTTTGGCTTCCTAACCGCTGACTCTTGATTTCAGCATTTCCCAAGGATTAGCACTGAGAGACACTGCTTTGTTTTGCAAGTGAAAAGGGAGAAAGAAAGGTACAGCCTAGTCCAGAGCAGTTGGGCTAATCCTGAAGAGCCATAAAGAGGGGACTCAAAAAGCCAGTGTTCCCGCAGGCACCTAAAACTAATGTCTTTTTTCTCCTCTACTCAAAGCCCTGGACCAGGCCACTCACTTTCTCTCAGCAGGCTCCCCTTCTGCGAGGTGAGCATCGCTGCTTCCATACTGTACAGGAATGTCTGTCGCCAGTGCCAAGGGCAGGAGACTCAGGCTATTCAGCCACTGGGTCTCTTCTAGGGCCACCTCAACACCAACAATGCCCAGGCTGTGCTGTAGCTCAGGCAGTGTCAATGGTCGCAGCCACGTGGCTAGTTCCTGCTTTTGTTGTTTGCCCCACCGGGCCTTCACAAAAGGGCATGCTGGCCATGGAGGCCCTCGATGAGACCTCTTCATCCAGGGACGGCAGTCAACATGGGAAGAACTGTGTAATAAAGAGGTATCTGGGGGAAAGGCCTTATCTATGGCATCTAGCAGATCCAGGTGGAGTTGGGATTGGACCTTGGGTGCCCAGCAGTACAGTTGCTCCAGTAAAGGCAGCAACTCGAGCTGACCAGTTAGCATCTCACGATATGGAGGCAACAGGCCCAGTACTGCATGCAGATAACGCCAGGCTTCACAGCTGCAATCCTGCAGCACAGCTGACAGCAGAGATTGCAGCTCGGACAGCAGCAGCTCCAGCGATGTCCGCTGCTCTGATTCAACCACTTCCTTAAGGAGCTTCTGTTTCTTCCAACAGTCCCAGGAATGTCCTTGAATGCTGCAGCTACATTCAGTCAGCCTAGATTCAAGGACTTCAACTGAGGGCTTATCGGGAGACGAAGGTACGTTCCTCTCTTCCAGAATAAAGCGGAGGCAGGTATTCAACTGTTGCCGAACTGATCTTGCCCACAGCTGAGGGTCTAAATGCCAGTTCCAGGCTTTTGGCTGCTGGGTCTCACCTGTGTGACCCAGCCCTGTTGGGGCAGGGTGGGGAGGGGTAGGTTCAGGATCTGGGCTTGGACAGCAAGATGGATAGAGCTGCAGGGCACAGGAAGACCAGCAGAAGGCCTTTCCTGAGCCTGTGCTCACTGGCAAGGACGGGCACAGGTCCCAGGAGGACCCAGGAGAAGCGCCTCCCACCATTTTCGGAATTGTCCTGTCTCACCTGGTGTCCGGGATGCAGAAGGCATGGGAAGGGAAGGGGGAGAGGCCCGAGGATGAGGTTTCATTGCGGAGCTCTCGCTGTAGAGAACGAACTTAGGCCCAGTTCCAGCCACTTAACACGGAGACAGACACAGGCTAGCAAAATCTTTGGAAAACTGCATTCACAGCAGGGAACCTTCAGAGTGGAGGCTGGCAATTGCCTTGAAAAGGAGACACAAAGGGGTCGTCACTCAGAGGTGGCAAAACTCAAATCACCTGAAGTCTTCGCTACAAACCAAGAAGATCCTAAGGGGAAAGTCAGCTGCTCAGTAGGGTGGCAGGTGAGGACACCTAGAGGAAGGAAGGGGCAGAAGGGAGCGGCCCCGGGCTTGCCCGTGGGAGGAGCCTCCCGAGGAGCAGGGAGACCTGAGCAATCAGGGCAGCAGATGCAGATCCCGAGCTGAGGACCACCGGCTCCCAGCAGTTAGAACCGTTACAGAATCCTGGAGGCCCAAGCCTTAGCCCGGAGCCAGGAGGGGCCAGCATGCAATGTGGGCGGGGCTTGAGGGCGGGCCCCGAGCCCGGGCCACACCTGCAGGTCGCGTGTAACCTGACCAAAAGAGAATCTGGGAGAAAGAATGAATGACAAGATTGATTTGGGGAACTAACAGCATCTAGGCTGTGTGGAGCAAGTGTAATACATATACCCGCTTATCTGTTCACTAATTTTCCCCTCCTCTCCCTGTTTGTGCACCTCACCTTCCGTAAAGAAGCATGCGGAAGACAAAAACCCTTTATCCCTCTCAAAAGCCACACATCTAGTTGGGGCTGAGAATCTATGAGTGGTTTAATTAAAAACAAACAAACAAACAAAAAACAAAACAGAAGCCCTATCCTGTCTCTCTGTGATGGAGGTATGTATGACTCCAAGATTTTGCCCCAACCAGTGGAAATTTGGTATGCCAGAACTGTGATGGAGAAGATGGTAAAAAAGAGTAGGCTTGGGCTGGAGAGATGGCTCAGTGGTTAAGAGCATTGCCTGCTCTTCCAAAGGTCCTGAGTTCAATTCCCAGCAACCACATGGTGGCTCACAACTATCTGGAATGAGGTCTGGTGCCCTCTTCTGGCCTGCAGACATACATACAGACAGAATATTGTATGCATAATAAATAAATATTTAAAAAAAGATTTTAAAAAATTATAAAAAAAAAAGAGTAGGCTTGGGGGCGGGTGGTAGAGGGCAGTTAGGCTTCTGATTTTGGATATTTCAAGCTTGAAGTCTGAGATACTTATCAGATATCCATGGGCGGGAGGTGCAGCTCAGTGGTCGATGGTCGAGCACTTGCCCTTCGCGGTCAAAGCCCTGTGTTCGATCTCCGGAGTCTTGAAAGAGAAGCTGGCCTTGAACTCAAGATTGCTCTGCTTCAGCCTCCTAAGTGAAAATATATGCTTATGTGCCACATCCAAGTAGAAGTTTAGTGTTTATTCTCACATTATATTCAAGCACAAGTATTCTTAGGGCTATGACTGGAGCGTTCTCTCTTCCCAAGGCTATGGTAACAGTCTTCAGGGTCCAAGAGAGTTCACCTCTGCATCTGCCAAGGTCCACTCCAACTATGATGAAAAGGACGCCTCTTTTTATTAAGGGCATGACCTGGCAGCTGCATGTGTTCGTCATTTGTGCTCATTTACCCAAACCTGGGTAAAAGCAAAGCTTCCACATCTTACCTTTGTTTTCAGTGGCTGTGGTGGTTTGAATAAGAATGCCCCCAACAGGTTCATATGTCTGGATGTTTGGAAAAGATTGGGTGACCTTGTTGGCTCATCTCATCAGTGTAAGTATATAAGAGTGAATGTTTTGCCCACATGTTCTCAAGACTTCATTGAAAGTCTCTGATCAAATAGGCTTACAATGAATTCTTTAACTTCCCAGTAGAAGTCAACACTCTCCCACATCCCTTCCTCTTTACCCCAAATTATTTTTCTCCATGTTGATTGCTATCTCATCTACTCATTAACTTACCTGTTTATCCTGACTAAAAATATAAACTTCATAGTTGCAAAGATTCTAATTGTTCTTATTGCCCCCTAGCTTATCCCCAGTCCTTAGTGCTAGGTACCATAAGTAGATGTCACCCAGCAACACAGTCAGCCACAGAATAAGAAGGAAATAAAGAATAGAGACAGGTAAAAGCTAGAGCAAAGGGTTGATGGGCTAATTTAAATTAAGAAAAGTTGGGTAGAAACAAGCCAAGCAAGACTGGGCATTTCTAAGTAAGAATAAGTCTCTGTGTATTTTATTTGAGAACTGGGTACCAGGCCCCGAAAGAACAAAGAATAAAAAAAAAAAAAAAAAAAAAAAAAAAAAA